GGAGGCACCGCCCACCCACCGCCGGGCTTGGTCGTGCGGCCCCGGAGGCCGCCGCTGCCCGTCTGCTTGTCGGTCTGTCCGTCTGCTTCTCTGTCCGCCTGCCTCCCTGCCTGTCTGTCTTTCTGCCTGCCTGTCCGTCAGTCTCTCTGTCCGTCCGTCCGCCTGTCTGGTGCCGGCTTGCTCACTCAGCACAGCGCTGCAGGTCTTCTTAGCAGTTAGGACTGAACCCACGTGGGGGGGCTGCTCTTAGAGGGGACCCCACAGCCCCCCCGCACCCGGCGGCGGCGGGGCCCCTCCGGGCTGTGGCCGTGGCTTTGGTCAGATGAGGACCTCTCCTTCCCAGCAAGGCCAAAAGCGCAGCCGCGCTGGTGCCCCGGCCCGGCTCGGGCGTCTCTGATCCTCGTCCTGAATTGCGCCCAGCTTGTAAACTGAGTAACACCGTTGTTGTGGGAAATGGATATTTTCTCTGTCTTGTTTCACATGTAGAGGAAGCTCAGTGAAAGAGCAGTCGGGGCTCGCCCCGTTCCCGCTGACAGCTGCTGCGGTGCTGTTCTGGTGGGCTCTGCTTTGTGACTCAGCCCTTTGGTCTGGCCAGTGACACTTCTGCTCCTCTCTGACAATTTCTGTTACTCTTGTCCCTTAAGTCACCTTTTCTAGTTGCCACATGCTAGCTTTCCCTTCTCACCCATGTCTTGTCTGTGGACAAGAATCTATTCATCATGACTTGAATGATGCTATTAACCCTTCCTGGTCGAGAGTGTGTCAGGATTTCTCTTGAGAGGTAGAACCAATAAAGTCTAGAGATGAATTAAAAAAAATGTATGGCTTATGCTATCATAAAGGCTGAGAAATGCCGAGATCTGCCCTCTTCAAGCGGAGGAGCAGCAAGTTGGTGACACAACTCAGCCCCAGGCCAGAAGCCTGGGGTCCAGGAAGCAGGGAAGGGAAGGTGCTCATCGTTGAGTTCTGGCCTGTGAGGGTCAGAGAAGCAGGTGTTCCCGGATCTGGAGGGCGAAGGTCAGAGAAGCAGGTGTTGGGTTTCTGGAGGGCAGGAGGGATGGGTCCCAGCTGGAGGGGGTGTGTTTGCCCTCCCTCTCGGGATGTGTGGGAGTCCCAGTTCTGGAAAGTGGACCCTGGATCGAGCTTCCGGGTGAGGAGGCAGGCCGGCCGCCAGGAAAAGCCCTGCCACCCCTCTCCTGAGCAGTCCTGGGAGACGCCCCGGAAGGCTCCTCCCGAGTGTCAGGTCGCTGGAGGAAGTAGGCAGCCAGGAAAATGTCAGGCTGCAAGGGGAAAGTAGGCTGCTTCCGAGAAAGACCACATCCCACCAAAACACCATCTGAGTCAGCCATTGTTCCAGGGCACTGGCCTAAGACAGCTCCGACTGGCCACACAAGCTAAGAGCCCCAACTCCCCGCTCGCTACAAGTGCTGCTTTTACCTCGCCTGTAAAAGCTCTGCTGCAGCTACACTCAGGGCGACCTCTCTGATCCTGACCAGGGAGCTCGCCTGGGAGCGAGCCCCAATAAACTTCCCTGTCAACCTTTTTATTTCTCTCCGCGTGGTCCTTTTCCTGCCTAAAACGTTATATTCACCACTTCCCAGGGCCGCTCCTCCTGGGGGTTGTCAGCGGTCTGTTTACAGTGAGGATTTCTTCCTAGGAGTAGAAAACCTTCAGGCCCAGTTCAGGCCTAGCAGAGGTGCGGGTGCGTGGAGCCTTGGTGTCTCGCCAGACCTCTCCACAACGAACTCTCAGAGGATGGCGGCCTGGGACTCACGCAGATCCCTCCCAGAACCTGCCAGGCTGCCACCCTCATCTCCCTAAGGACAGCCCATTGTCATTCCTACGAACCACTTCCATACGCTTTCAACCCCAGAAAATTGAACTTTTGTCGTTATTGGTTGTAGGGCTTGGCGCTGTCCCTGGCCATTTTTGCTCAAGGTTAGCGCTCTACCACTTTGAGCTACAGATCCACTTCTGGTTTTCAAGGGGTTCATTGGAGCTAAGAGTCTCATGGACTTTCCCACCTGGGCTGGCCTCGAATCCGACCCTCAGAACGCAGCCTTTTGAGTAGCTGGGTTATTTTTACTTTGTCACTGGCTTTGTGCATGGTGTACACCCTATTGGAAGTGTTTTTGTTTTGTTTTGTTTTTAATTTTAAACCGTGTATTTCTCTCCAACTTGCAGTCCACTACTTGAAGATTCTTCTCTCTTCACACCTTTCCCAGCTGACCTCTGTATGTTTGCCCCCATTACTGATTAAATAGTTATTAAAGATATTGCAGCCAAGCCTCTGCCTGCAGTCCAGGACAAACACAGGCTGCCAAAACGGTCCCTAAAAGCGACCACTGTTTACTTCAATAAACATCTGCTCTGCAGAACTTAAGCCTCCTGTCCCCTCAACAGTTTCCAACCCGCCCACCCAGGGCAAGCTCAAGGTCCAACAGAAGAAATCTCTTTGGTAGGGCCTAGAAGGTTCTTTCCTTTTTTTTTTTTTTTTGGTCTGGTCATGGGGCCTGAACGCGGCCTGGGTGCTGTCCCTCAGCTCTTTACCACTTGAGCCACAGCGCCACTTCCGGCTTTTTTCTTTTTTTGCTTATGTGGTGCTGAGGAATCGAACCCAGGGCCTCAGGCATGCAAGGCAAGCACTCTACCACTGAGCCACCTTCCCAGCCCATCCCTGACTTTTTTTTAAAAGCTAGTGCTCTACTACTTGAGCCCCAGCTCTACTCTGGCTTTTTCCTGGTTGATTGGAGATAAGTATCTATTTGAATTCTAACAACTTTCATAACTCTTCACCTCTATCCACCTTGAGGGGTTATGGGAAGGTAGAAAAAGAAATCTAGAGCTTTCCAATACACCTGGATGGCTTCAATGGATCTCTGTTACCTGGCTGTCTAAGATTCACTGGACCACTGTGGCAAGTTCATTTTCTAACTCCTTAAGCCTTTGTGAACAAGACCCAGTCCCACCCACTTCCAGGTGAAAATTCCCCAGAGAGCTGCTGCTCCTCACCGCCTCACAGGTCCCCACCAACGCAGATACTTGGGAGAGTTTTGTTTTCTTTGGTAGCTATTCACACCAGCTTTGGCCCCAGCGCTTTAGAGTTTCATCTTGTGCTTGTACAACGTGATCCGTGTTCTCCGCACCGCGTCTCCCCCGTCAGCCTGAAGCGGCCGGGAGTCGCCTACGCCACGAGAATGCTGCAGAGCAAACCCCAGTTCCTTCCTACACAAAAAGCGTGGCACAGAATCTTGGGCACCCTGTCACCGGCGGGAAAGATCTAGCCATTCATGGCGCCGTGGCCAACAGGCTCGCCCTGGGATTTATTTTCAGGCTAAAGTTTGCAAAGCACTATTTTAGCTTCAGATGAAGCTTGATCTCACCAACAACACAGCCAGTACTTGTCACTGATTGAGACAATTGAGAAAACAGAAACATATTGGCTTGCTGCTTAAAGCTCTGTTCTAAAACACGCACTGGTGGCTCACGCCTGTCATCCTAGCTACTCTGAGATCTGAGGCTCTTGGTTCAAAGCCAGGTGGGGCAGGAAAGGCCGAGACTCTTATCTCTAATTAAACTGGAAGTAGAGCTGTGGCTCAAAGTGGTAGAGCGCTAGCTTTCGGCAAAAGAGCTCTAGGACGGCGCCCAGGGCTCTAAGCTCAAGCCCCATGACTGACCCCCCCCCCCAAAAAAAAGCTCTGTTCTAGTTTGTGGAACACAATCAAAGCTCAGCGAAACTGATTCTCTCTCACTCAAGCTCCAGCCTGCTGCCCAGCTGCCCATTTCCAGAATTCCCAGGATTTCCCTCTGGTCGGGCTTTGACGTTTCTATTCTGCATTCATTGGCCTTCAGGGCCAGCGACCCTTGAGCTGCGCTTGCTTCTGTCAGTCTCTGACGGGTCCGTGCGTCCGGCCGTGGGCTCTTCCCGCCAGTGCCGGTCCTGGCCCGGCGTGTTTGCAGAGTTCCAGCACGTGGAGCAGAGCGTGTGCTGTCAGGCACTGCAGGAGCCCACGAGCCGCGTGACTCCAGCCCTCACCACAGGATTACGCCACCTGGGTCTGCTTGAGAACCTCAGCCCCCCAAGGAGATGCGTTCTTTCTATGTGGCCGTTGGATAGAAGTCATTGCTGTTTATGTTCCTTAGCGGTGCAGGACAAGTGTCTCTTGCTGTTCTGTTGCACAGCCGTGACTCCCCGTCCTGTTCCGTTGGAAACCTTGGAATCTGGCAGCGTGGCTCGCTGCTGATTTCCACCTCTTGTGCACACAGGCTTCCTTTCCAGCATCAGGTCTTGGTCCTCCCCGTTTGGCTCAGGTAGCTACCCGGCTCTCGCTCTCGTCTCCTGTACGTCTTTAGCATCATCTCCACAGAGGAGGCTTCCCTAACAACCTTATTTAACCCTAAAACTCATCCTGCGCACCCTCTCGTCGTTTACAACCATGACCAATGCCGCACGATGGCCAATGCCAACGCTGCCCTCCGGCTGCAGGAGGCTCCTGCCCGGGATGACTATCAATGATAACTCTAGCTCCAGTCTCTTCCCAAGCTCCAAATTATGACCCAGCGGACTACTTACAATCATGCATCTCACAGGGACCTCCAGTTCATTTAGTCCACCACTAACTCAGCCCTCTTGAGTTTCTTTGCTTATCAATATTCTCCTTTTCTCAAGTACAGAGGGAGACATGACGCCTGTGGAGCGGCATCTCTTTGTGCCTCAGTATCTGCTGACCACACTTTTACTTCATCTGATGAAGAGGGGCAAACCTTGGCGTCTTTGTTGTGGGAGAGTCCACACGACACAGTACAGCCAACAGAAAGTCTTTAATACCAGCAGTTGGGCACCCACAAGTGCAGTCCCGGGGCCCCTTTTGGGGCTGCTTTTAAGCAAAAATGTACATCCTTGTTTGCTCAATGGTGGAAAGTCCCTAACTGTTCTTTCCTGCAGGTGCAAACCAAGCCGCAGCGACGGAAGGTGTGGAGCGAGGGCAGCCGAGCCCGATTCTGTGATTGTCTCTGTTACCTAGAAACGCAAACACCACAGTGGCTGCATATACCTTTAAATGTCAAGCCATCAGGCACTAGCCCCAGGAGTGGGTACAGCCCCACCACCTCTTGAAATATTCAAGAATGCCTAACAGGAAGCAGAAAGCTCTAACATTTCTAATATTTTCTTCTCTCTTCTTTCATTCAGAGGTGGAGACTGTGGGGCTCAGGTAAGTTGTAAACAGACAACCCAGGGGCCTAATCAGAATTCCAATTGGCGGCCTGTGAATCACTGTGGGCGGCATTTCCTGGTTTTAAACCAGAACCACAAGGTAACACCTGCGGAGCCCCACTCCTGTCCCAGGGCCCCTGGTAAATGCCGGGCCCAGGAGGGCAGAGAGGGTCAGGCGAGCCCCTCGGCAGGCCGCGTGTCCACACCGGCCATGTGTAGAAGACGGGCGATGTTGCAGAAAAGAGGGTTACAGTGATCTCTGCTGTAGTGTTTATATAATTTATTTGTTTATATAGCTTCCTGTAATGTACCAGTACAGACAGGAAGACTCCCACCCAGCACCCAGCGCAGGCGGGAGCAGGTTCGGCTGCTCATGATGATGTTGGAGGGCAGGGGTTGCAGGGGCCCAGGTGGAGGTCAAAGGTCATGATAGCCAAGAGGATAAACTCCACTGTCCCCAAGAGGAAGCGGCTGTGTGGGGGATGCATGCTGCGAAGGAGGCAACTTTGGAGCAACAACAGAGGCGCATGCTGGGTCCAGAAGGCACGGACGGAGGAAAGACAATGGGACGAAAGACAATGGGACGGAGGAAAGACAATGGGACACCTGCGCATCTCAGGGTGGCCACGTTAGTGCGTGCGTAGGTTTGCTTTAGATGTTATGACCGTCCACAAGTGTCCACTGGGTTGCCTTGTGTTCACTTCCACATGCTCACAATATTGCACCATAAAATAAAAAAGTATTCTCTACCATCATAAATCTCTGTGAAGGAGTGAGTTCGCGGTACAGCAAGTACGATTTACAGAATGTTTATTAATAGCGTGTTGCTGAAGAAACTATTGGTTTAGCCAGGATTTTATTTTTTTATAAGCCATCTCCCAAATCTTCCTTTGTAGACTCCCAACCACTCATCGCCATTCACATAATGCCAAACACAGGATGGCTTGGAGATCTGCACAGTACACACACCACACACCACACACACACGCACACACACGCACACACACACACACACACGCACGCACACACACACACGCACACGCACACACACACACGCACGCACAGCGCTGTTCCCCTTCTGTTGGCATGGGCTGAAAGATGCAATCAACTCCCCAGACCCCGGATCACACGGCCCAGGACACGTGGCGCTCCTGGGCGCTCTGTCTGTGGGGCACGTCCTCCTCCTTGGGGTTGGTGCTGGTGGAGTGCACCCGGACAATGCTCCGGGGCACGGCCGTGTACGCGGAGATGACCTCGATGGAGCTCCTGTCCAGGGGAAGGTCCTCACTGGACTCACGGGGCCGCAGGCAGCTGCAGTCTTGGAGGGACGGCTTGCACTGGAGGACGGAGAGGATGCCTGGGAAACGCACGGAAACCATGGCGCTGGCGACCAGCAAGGACCCCGCCCGAGCTGCGTGCCCCCCCAACCACCAAGGACCCCGCCCGAGCCGCGGTGCCCCCCACCCCCACCCACTAACCACCAAGGACCCCACCCAAGCCGCGCCAGCCCCCTCCCCCCAACCACCAAGGACCCAGCCCAAGTCACGCCCCTCGCCCCCAACCACCAAGGTGTTGTGGGGGCTGTTGCTTTGGTGCAGGAGACTGGGCTGAGTGAGCGGGTTATTCTTGGAGGACAGGCTGCGTCTGGCTTGGGAAGGGCGTCAGAGGCAGGCAGGCTGAGGCTGCAGCCAGGCCTGACTTCTGGCTCTCTCCTTACAGACACTGTCCTTCCAGGTTGGACCCAGGGCCTGGGCAGCTTTTTCACTCAAGGTTAGCACTGGAGTCACGGCACCGTGTATTTCTGGTGGCTGATTGGCGTCTCAGAGCCTTCCTGTCTGAGCTGAGCTGGCTTCAGAACCCCCTCTCCCCCCCCCCAGACTCCCCCCCAGACTCCCCCCCAGGATCTCAGCCACCAGTGCAGCATAATACTGCACTTTTTAAAGTCACCGTGCCACTTTTCTTCCACGGACACACCCCACCTTCCATCCTGTTCTCTGTCCTGGGGAACTTGGTTCTCAGCGCTCTCCAAGCGCCCTGGGACACTCACCGCAGGTAAGGAAGAGGATGACGGTGAAGCAGGCCGAGATGAAGACCCAGGTGGGCTTGAAGCTGGAGAAGTACACGGACTGGCCCTGCTTCAGCTTCAGGTAGTATCTCACCAGGGCATAGAGCAGAAGGAAGCCTGGTGTCCAGAGCAGAAGGACAGAATCCCTCCTCAGCAACTTTGGTTTCTGGACTCAAGTTTTCACCCAAGCAAACCTGACTTCCCAGCCTTGCCCACCGCCCGTCTCGCTTGAGGCCCGGACCCGCCTCAGAAGCTGGGTGTACACCCGAATGGAGTGCTGAGAAGGCCGGACGGCCGGACGGCCGCAGCCTGGGGCTCAGAGCCCGCACGCCGCCCCGAGGGGCACCCGGAAGTTACCTGTGAAGAAACTGAGGAAGGCAATGGTGAGGTGGATGCATCTGTTCTGAGGAAGCATGGCGGTGAACTGCAGACCCATGACCAAGTTAATGTGGAAGGACAGGCCGAGGACCACCATGAGCATCACCCTGACCGCCTCCAGGCCGGCTGCTGGAAAGCAGAAGCTGTACTGAGAGAATGACAGCTATTTCTTCCACCCTGGGCAAAGACGGGGACGGGGTGAGCGTTTGGTGAAATAATCGAGAGAGAAGGGTGGGAAGAAGAGGGAATGAGGGAATTAGAAGAGGTTGCTCTTGGTCTTCGGGTCCTTATAAACCTGGTCTCCTCTCCTTTTCTGAGAATTCAGTACTATTCAATAATCTCTTCCATCTCGTCTGTTTCTCTTCTTGCCACTCCCCCTCACCCCTCCTCTCTCATTCTCGTTGTGTTCATCACCCTGCCAAGGCTTCTCCATGTCCAGTGACTAAGACTAAATGCTTCCCATCATTCTCCCCGGCATGCCAACGGTGAGACTTAGGAGTCTGAATTGCCGCGTTGGTCGTGGAGGTGGGCACATGGCTGCCCGAGGAGGCGGCCCCAGGAGTTTTGGGGGTGAGGGAGGTCCAGGGGAGATGGAGCCCTCCGCTCCACCCAGCCCTGTACACAGAAGAGTCCTGACCTGGCCAAATGGCAGTGCAACACATCATCCAGGGACTGTGGCTAATCTTGTTCTTTTTTATTTTGGGAAGCAACTCAACCCATTCCTCCATGATGAGGCTGATCACCAGCAAGGTTAAGGCCCAGGAGGAGAAGAGGATGTTGATGGTCTGGATATTCCTGTTCTTTAGGACCATCGCGAGAGGGGGTGTCTAGCTGAGGCCACCACCAACACTTCATATGTCTCTTCTTTGGTTTGACTGCTCGCAGGAAGAGGGGGAAACTCTGGGCTTTAGAGACTGCGGAAGCATGGGTAGTGGCGGAAGCTGAAGTTGGGTATGGAATGGAAGCGCCCCTCACACCACTCCTTTATTGAGAGAGGCCTGTCGTCAGGGCTACGAACCGCCTCGGAATCGCCTACTGCTTTGACCTTCGACCCTGGGGCCTGGGCAGGGGAAGGACCAAGGTGCTCAGGGATCCTGAGAGAACCAATCAGATGCTGAGAAGGGTCAGAGGTCACAGATGGAGAGAGTTACCAGATATAGGGAAGCAGAGGCCTTGAAGACACAAGCTCCATTACAGAGGTCCTGTTTGCGTTGTTAGAATGGCTGGACTGGGGTTGGCTGATAGTTGGTGGGGTCCTCAGATACTCCAAGATCATCACGAGGAAGACTCATGGAGCCAGAACTGCAGAAGGAAACACCGAATAAACATGGGTGCTCACAGTAAAGAACTTTCTAGGCAGACCGGGAAAAAGAAGGGCCTTGAAGACTGGAGAATACACTCAATGCGCTGCCTGCTTGTGGAGTGTTATTGTCAGGACTGACGCTCATCTCTTGCCAGAGTTGCCTTCATAGTTTGCAGAGAAGTTGTTGGGTGTTTTTTGGGTTCCATGGTGTCATGGCACACAGCAGGGTCCCTGGAACACAGGGAGCACACAGTAGGTACACACGGAGCACACAGTAGGTACACACAATAGGTTCAGAGCAATACCCAGGCAACCATCTCCGAAACGCCTCTCTCGCCCGTTTCCCTGATTCCCGAATGGGTTCTTTCATTGCCTTCCCCACGCCACGCAGCCTCTCCGACCTCTTCCACACCTTTTATCACCGTTGTGTTTTCTTGATCTTTCCCATTTCTTTAAACACATAGGATATTTAATCTCAAGGCTTTATAGTTAAGAAAACGGACTCGAGATCCTGGGATTAAATCCTGCCTCTACTCACTCATCGAAGGAGAGGCTTTAAGCGATGATAACGCTTACTCAGGCAGAGATCTGTCCGAGGGCCCCGAGTGGGTGGTCGCCCTGGAAACCACGTCTGCAGTGTTCAAGGGAAGACGAACTGACCGGAAGTGGAGGTGAGTCGGTGCTGCACTGGAGGGAATCTGAGCCACGCCCCATGGTGTGCTGGGTCCCAGAATCTCCCAGAATCTTCCAGAATCTTCATGGATAGAGGCAAGAAAGCCAAGCTGTGACACTGGGCACCGTTTGGCCCTGAGTGCCGTGTATATGTGGAGGTTTCTCTTCTGACTCCAGTGTCTGAACTCTCAGCAACCACATGTGTCACAGTCAGGACCCTGGCCACGGTGGGAGAAGCTTCCAGGACTCCCATGTCGATCCCAGCTTACCACAAGCTCTGCCAGCTGCCTCGGAACCTGTTCTCTGTGCTTTGATCTCCGGCTCTCGGACCTCCTGACTGGACAGGGACATTTGCAGCTCAATCAATGATATTCTTCTGCATTGATTTTTGTTTGTTTGTTTGTTTGTCGTCTGGTCTGGGCCTGGGTGCTGTCTCTGAGCTCTTTCACTCAAGATAGTGCTCTACCACTTGAGCCACAGCGCCACTTCCAGTTGTCTGATGGTTAACTGGAGATAAGAGTCTCGTGGACTTTCCTGCCTGGGCTGGCTTTGAGCGTGGTCCTCACATCTCAGCCTCCTGAGTAGCTTGGATTACAGGCGTGAGCCACCAGCGCCTGACATGCATTGATGATTTTTATTTCTGTGCCATAGACCCTTAAGATGAAGGTCCTGGTTTGAAAGCTATATAGCTTCATTTGTTTATTTTATGGGTTATGGCAATAAAGATCCAAAGTTGGTGTAGCCAACTTAGTAGAAAAGTGTGACTGAGATACAAGTTGAAGACGAAATCAAGTTAGCAACTGAGAAAGACCAGAGAAATATCTCTACTGAAAAATACCAAGACATCTGAACAGTGACACACGATTAACGCTGTGACTTGTAAAGAATGAAGATGTCCACCAGGCACTAAGAGAGTTAACGGTTGTGCATTTTAGCAGCCTGCACGGCAGTTCAGCTCCTCCTGGATATCACTTTTTTGTCTCCATGCATGCCTGTTACTCATGGTTGCAAAAACCATTCACAGTACGTGCAGCCACCAGCATGCGCGGATAGAAATCATCTGCACCGCGTCCCCTGCACACTGTCTCCGTGCCCAGGGACTGCGTGCGCATTCTCCTGCTTTAGTGAGATTACTTTCCCACAGATTGAACTCATCAGCAAGTGGGGTGAGCCTGGGAGGGGGGTCCCCTGTCCCCATCAATCCCTTCTCATGTGACACCCAGTAAACACCGTTCACAGCAGCAAATACATGTGAAGTCTCTCCCTGCTTTGGTGCTGAGGCTTTTGCTCAAGGCTGGCGCTCTACCACTTGAGCCACGGTGCCACTTCCTGCTTTTTCTGTGTATGTGGGACTGAGGAATCGAGCCCGGGGCTTCATGCGTGCTAGGCAAGCGCTCTACCACTGAGCCACCTTCCCAGCCCAAGAACTGTAATTTTTATCTCTAACATCAACAAGGAAACCTTGACTTAGAGAGATTTGATGCCAGACCCAAATGCTGCACACAGATAATAAGTAGCAGGCGTGGGCCTAACAGCTCCGGAGGATGGAAAGCCTGTGCGTGCATTCTCTGTCTCTTTGTCCATTTGCTACATCCAGGCTTGGCCATCAGGTTGTTAAGGTCTTCAGGAGAGCTGCACAGTGGGCAGGCTGACACAGGATCACGTCACCTAAGCCCGGAGGGCTTCGTGGGGCTGGGTGGTGTGGAGTCCCCGGGCACTGTGTAGGTCGCTAAAGGGTTTACCCTCCCGCCGGCTTCTGGAGAAGTCGGAACTAATACTGTGGCGTTAATGATGGCAAGATTCGCTTGTGGATCATGGGACCCAGTCCCTTCTGAGACCATTGAAGCGTTCCCTAAATGCCACGCGCTCTGGGGACTGTGCGGAGAAGGGAGCCGCTGTTCTGCACGCCGGTGCCCGCCCCGCTGTGAGCCGGACCACGGCCCGCGGAGCAGGCCGGCCTGGGCCGGGAGGGCGCCGCCGCTGACCACTGGGATTTCCTGGGGCGGAACAGTTTGTCCCAGACTCTCACCAGACCCTGTTACCTTGTATAATGGCTAAATCAGATTGATTCAATGGATTCAAACATCGTTCCTTTATGCTCAAATCGTCCACAGCCTTCTCTTCTAACTGCAAAATGCGCGTTACATTACTGTTATTAGAACATTCTCCCTTACAGTAGCACCCAGAAATTCTTCTTCTATCTTCTCTTGGCATGCCTTCCCAGTCCTCTCCTCCCACTTTCCCCGGCTCTGGTGACAGCCGTTCTACCCATTGTATTTGGTGATACTGGGGACTGAACTCAAGGCTTCACACTCGCTAGGCAGAGACGCTACCTCTCCAGCCATACCTACAGACTGTTTGCGAATTATTTTTACTTACTTTTTTGCCAGTCCTGGGGCTGAACTGGATGCTGTCCCCGAGCCTCTCTGTGCTCAAGGCTAGTGCTTTACCACTTGAGCCACAGCACTGCATCTGGCTTTTTCTGAGTGATTCACTGGAGATAAGAGTCTCACAGACTTTTCTGCCTGGCCTGGCGTTGAACCTTGATTTTCAGATCTCAGCCTCCTGAGAAGCTAGGATTACAGGCGTGAGCATTGGCTCCTGGTACATTGACTATTTTTTGAGATAGGGTATTCTTTTGTGCCCAGGCCAACCTGGGCTATGATCCTCCACCTGAGCCTTCCTGTGCATGCTCCCCGTCCACTGGTTGAGACAGAGTCTTGCAAACATAGATAATTTCACTCCTCTTTTTGTACCACGTCCCCATCATGCGCAGGTGATTTTTTTTTTTTTGGGTCCGGTCGTGGGGCCTGAACTCTGGGCCTGGGCGCTGTCCCTCAGCTCTTCAGCTCAAGGCTAGTGCTCTACCACTTGAGTCACAGCGCCACTTCCGGCTTTTTTCTTTTTGCTTATGTGGTGCTGAAGAATCGAACCCAGGGCCTTGAGCATGCAAGGCAAGTGCTCTACCACTGAGCCACCTTCCCAGCCCCGCGCAGGTGATTTCTTTCCGTGAACCAGCTGTCTCGCCTTGGGATTGCCTTGCTGTGTCTTCAGGTGGTTCTTTCTCAGATGGACAAGAACACAACGCCCTGACCGAAACAGAACACGACGGGGCCGTGTGTGCGGCAGAAAGCATGCATTCCCCCCGAGGTCAGCCATGGGGCCTGCCAGGCCCTCGGAGCACAGGGGAAACGGTCCCTTATTTCAACAAGCTTCCAAACGCCAGCGAAGACCAGGCGTCCGTGGGCAGTCCCACAGGCACCTTCCCAAAGAGCGGATTGGGTGGAGAGCAGGTTTAACACCCACACAACATAAGTAAGAGCCGGGTTTCATTCGCCTTTGCTCTAACCCCAGAAATTTTGGTTTTAACCCAGTAGGTACTTCGTAGCTGAGGATGAGGTACTATGAAATAATCTCACAATTTTCCCCATGGATAGATTGAAATCCAGCTGTTTGCTTCTGAAAATTGGGGGATTTTTTTTTTAACAAAAGTATGTATGTTTACTTCCAGGGTACCAGGAATGGTTCATCTAAAGATGGCGGGGTCTACAAGATGTCCTGGAGAGCTCGCCCCAGGTCTGGGTTGGGGCTCAGGGATTCTTGCTACTATTGGTTTCCATGGTTACCAGGCACTAGAAACATTGAGTCTTTTCTCAAGGAGCCATTCCCAAAGTTCTTCATGCAAATCTTTATTTTCTATTTCTCAGTTCCTCTGCTTGTAACCTTAGCTACACTTGACTGTCCCTTTCAGATCTCCTCAAGTGACTTCTCTCCACTATTTAAGTCTCAGTTTTAAATGGGCCATTCCATAGAGGGAGTCTTTATAGCAACCAGCCCCGGCGCTGAGCTCAGACGGTGCAGCATTGTGCCCTGCCCCCTGCACTCCGCAGGTTCCAGGACACGTCGGCTCCCGTGTGAGGGACGTTCTGAAGGGCCTCACGCGGAGCGTCTTGCAGTGTGCCTAAGCGATGGTAGCAGTCTCAGGTGGCGGCCAGCCTGGGGACAGTGCCTACAGCGCAGTCTTACGTCAGACCTCAAGAGACGAAGACCCTCAGGGACTACTGGTTGTCTTCTTATTTCTAGGAATAAAAGACCCAGGTCCTTGTTACCTGCAGCTCTACAGAAACTTTTCAAGCAAGGCATATTTACATGTGTTAGGAGAAGAAGGTGGGTTTCAGAGTTATGATGCTTATCTTGTAGGAATATTACAATGGATTCTAAACTTCACTCCTCGGTGCCCACAGGAATCCTGCACATTTGCACCCCGCTGAGTCACCGGCACGGAAGGAACTGGCCGCCGTGCCTCCCCTGGACAGGTGTGTGTTCCATTACGGGCTGTTCACACTTATTCTCATTTACTTTGCACAGCAATGCCTTAACTGTTTATTACTCACTATTATTTACTTTTTTTTTTTTTTTTACAGACTGAAACACAAAACTCACAGCGTCTATCATGAGTTGACTGCTACACTGTAAGACTTAACTGGGGCTGGACAGAATCTCATGACTTACATGTAGTTCAGTGCTTTCCTGCCACCCATGTACCCCTGGGACAACTGAGATTTCATGTATATATATATTCACATTCTAAACTTTTGCTGTCTGAGCGTATAGCACTAGCTGTTGGGCCCGAGTGAGTCTTCAGAGTGTGGCTAGTTCAGCTGGAGCTGTGCTGTCAATATAAAATACAGCATGCGTGTCAGGACCTGCCTCTTCTGCAAAACATTGCAAAATACCTCATTATAATTCTTCTATTGTGTACATGTTGAAGTGGTATTTTGAATATAAATTAAATAAAACAATATTATTAAAATTAATTCCATCTGTTTTTAATTTTTAAATTAGGCTCATAGAACATTTTATGTTGTTTACTTTTGTTAACATGTATTGTCCCGAAGGGATTACATGATGATATTTCTGTGTGTGTGTGTGTGTGTGTGTGTAATTTTAAAAGTCTGTCGCAGTGTTTAAAAATAACCTGCTTTAAAAGGGCTAAAAATGCATTGGCTCTGAATCAAGGCTGAATCAATGTAGTAGAAAAGTTTGACTAACCAAAGTTTGGCCTTAGTCTAGTTGCATATTCTTTAGTATCTGGTTAAACAGACACAGCGTATTACTGCTCTATGCGTGTGTGAGCATATATGCACACGTGTGTGCATGTGTATGTGTGTAGGTGCTCATGGGCGTGTATGTACGTATGCACTGGGGCTTGAACTTAGGATCTCAGCTCTTGTTCAGCTTTTTTATTCAAGGCTGGTGTGCTACCATTTGAGCCACATCTCTACTTCCAGCTTTTTGTTGTTTAATAGGAGATAAGAGTCTCTCAGATTTGTCTGCCTTGGCTGGCTTCCTATGGAGATTCTCAGTTCTCAGCCTTCTGAGTAGCTAGGATATTACAGGTGCCGGCCCCTCACAGCGGCTACTAGTGCTCATTTTTATGTCTTAAGACAAGCTTTTTATAACATTTCTATCTAAAACACAACACAATGTGTTGTTACAAGCTATTTGACATACACAACACCTGTGGAATCTCTGAATTCACAGATAGTTAACAAAATGCTGGAATAGAAAGCTTGTGTAACTCCTACCCTTGATCCAGGAAGGCTTTTGCTGAGAGCATTTTCCAAGTCAGGCTTTGCGTGACTGGTCCTGAGAAAGAGGGTCAGGGGAGGAAACAAGCAAGAAGGAAGACGATTTCACATTGAGGGGAGAATAACCGAAAATGACCCCTCCAACTAGCGTGCAGGACTCTGGTTGAAATGCCGGGGCCGGCATTTTGTGCTTTGCCACGTGGCTGGGGCCGTGGGTCGGAGCAGCGAGGTCTGATGGGCATCTGCCACCCGGCTGCCCCGGACGTGGCGGTTGGAGGATCTCCATTCAAAGCCTTCTCTGGGCGAAGTGAGAATCTACCTAAAAAAGAAATCAACAAGGGCTCGGGGGGGAGGGAGGGTATGGGCATGGTGATAGACTACTGGTGGCGCTGGCTTGCCTAGCCAGCCCTAGGTCCTGAGTTCAAATCTCCAGTAACAATATTTTTCTGGCTGAAATGCCTGGTCCTGGGGAACTGGGGGCAAGCTGGAAGTCCACCCGTCTAACCCGACTCTTCCTTTCCGCTCCATAGATTTCGTGGGGGAGCATGGGTGTACACAATCACTCCGTGGTGACTGAGTTTCTCCTTTTGGGACTCACGGAGCAGCCCGAGCTCCAGCAGCCCCTCTTCTGCCTGTTCTTCGGGGTTTACGCCGTCACCGCGGTGGGAAACCTGGGCTTGATGGCCATTATCAAGTGCAGCCCTCAGCTCCACACGCCCATGTACTGCTTCCTCGGCGCCCTGTCCTTCATCGACCTCTGCTACTCCTCCGCCGTCACCCCGGGGATGCTGGCGGGGTTTCTAGGCAGGGGCAGGACGATCTCGTATTCGGGATGCATGGCTCAGCTCTTCTTCTTCTGCCTCTTTGTCATCTCCGAGTGCTACATGCTGGCGGCCATGGCCTACGATCGCTACGCGGCCATCTGCCACCCCCTGCGCTACGGCGCCATCATGTCCCCCCGCCTCTGCTTTCTGCTGGTGGCTGCCGTCTTCTCCGTGGGCCTCGTCGACGCGGCGATTCACGGAGGCTGTATCCTCAGGTTGTCTTTCTGCAGCTCAAACACCATTAGGCATTATTTCTGTGACATCGTCCCCCTGATAAAGCTCTCCTGCTCCAGCACGGCCGTGGACGAACTTCTGATCTTTGTCATCGGTGGGTTTAACATGGGAGCCACCAGCCTGACCATCGGCACATCCTACGCCTTGATCCTCGCCAGCATCCTGCGCATCCATTCCCAAGAGGGCAGGGCCAAAGCCTTCAGCACCTGCAGCTCCCACCTGACAGCCGTGCTTGTCTTCTACGGGTCTCTCATGTCTATGTACCTCAAGCCTGCGTCCAGCACCTCCGCCCTCCAGGAGAAGGTGGCCTCCGTCTTCTACACCACGGTGATCCCCATGCTCAACCCCCTCATCTACAGCCTGAGGAACAAGGACGTGAAAAAGGCCCTGGTGAAACTTACGCGGAGCCAGGTGTCTTCGTCACGGGTGGGCTCCGTGTGAGGATCCGTTAGCACAGCCGTGAGCACGCTGGCGGGCGGCTGATTTTTTATGGAGCCCAGCTACTATATTCGATTTAGGGATGTGTGTGTTCAGGTTGCTGAACAGACTCACACGCGAGATCCGTGTGCTCCGATGCAACACGTGCGGAAGCGTGGAGGGTAGCATGTATTCAAAATGTAATGTTTCATTTCACTGCTGCGATTCAACACTGATCCTTGGCACTTAGTTTCCTGAATCCCGGCCCCAAAGGAGTAAAGCCTAACTTTGGTGTGTGGCATAGTCATACGAGGAAAAGACAAGCACACACACATTGACTTTCTAAAGAACATTTCTCTTACGGAAACCTGTGTAAGAAATACGAGACAGTGTGAGGAGACCCCTTCAAAAATGTTTCTAATAAACGTGGAAGACAATTTTACACTGTGTAATGTTAAAGGACTTATTAAAGGGCAGTGTTCTGTTAAAGCAGAATTCTTCAGTGAAGACTCAGCACGAAGGAAAGCTGGTGTGGTCTCAGGGAGTGCATTTGATATCTGGAAATCCAAAGATAGGACTTAGGCCAGGGGCCCGTGGTTCACGCCTGCCATCCTCGCTACTGGGAGGCTGAGATCTGGGAATGGAGGGGATGGGTGGGGGTGGGGCAGGCAGGAGAGAGTGACGGAAGGGGCGACAGTGACCAAAATGCATTGTACTCATAAATGACACATGGCATTGTAACTCCCTCGTACAACTACTTAAAAATAACAAAAACACAGGGTGTTAAAAACCCAGGCAGAAAAGCTGAGAAGTGATTTAAAAGAAAAAATGCTTTCCTAACAACACAAGAACCCTCTAAACCTCCACCCCAGGCTGGGGTTGATCTCAAGGATCAAAGCAAGAAGGAAATGTGGCTAAGGAGGCATTGGAGGCCCCAGAACAGAGCCAGTCTGCAAAGACAAGGTATTTTTAAAATAGCATTTTGTTGTTATCTTTAAGGAGCTGTACAATTCCAAGTCAGGTTGTGAGTATAATGTGCAAAAGCAAATTAAAAAATTAACTTGTCTCCTCTCTTTCTTCCCCTTTCCTCCCCCATCCCCGGTCTGCCTTTCCTTTACCTCTTTCTCTCTTTTGCCTCTGTCTCTGTCTCTCTTCTTTCTCTCCCCTAAGGAAATTACTAAAACACTAGCTAACCATAAGCAAAAGAAACAATTTGCTTACTTCCAACAAATGATGAGGAATTTGCCCCACAGGCAAAAAGATATATTCACCCTCAATCAGAATTAAGGTATTTATTAAAGCCAACACATCAGAAAGCAGTTGAAGCTGATGTGCAGCTTGGTCGTTATCGGTGGCAAGAATGTGTTAAAATACCCACATTGGGGGAAGGTGGCTCAGTGGTAGAGCGCTTGCCTTGCACGCATGAGGCCCTGGGTTCGATTCCCCAGCACCACATAAGCAAAAAGCCGGAAGTGGCGCTGTGGCTCAAGTGGTAGAGTGCTAGCTAACCTTGAGCTGAAGAGCTGAGGGACAGCACCCAGGACCCAGAGTTCAGGCCCCATGACTGACAAAAAAAAAATCCAAATTGCATACATTTTCCTCAAAAATCTCTAAATAACAAGCACTCATCTTAGGCATGAGTATTTTATACAGCATATAATCCACTCAGTTTTATGCAAAAAACGCCATCAACTATTTAGATGACCTTTAAAATCTTTAACAAGAATAATGGTGTGAAGAAAATTAGTAAGAGGGGCTGGGAAGGTGGCTCAGTGGTAGAGCGCTTGCCTTGCATGCCTGAGGCCCTGGGTTCGATTCTCAGCACCACATAAGCAAAAAAGAAAAAAGCCGGAAGTGGCGCTGTGGCTCAAGTGGTAGAGCGCTAGCCTTGAGCTGAAGAGCTGAGGGACAGCCCACAGCCCAGAGTTCAGGCCCCACGACCGGACCCCCCCAAAAAAAAGAAAATTAGTATGAGTTGGGGAGGTAGTTCAGTGGTAAAGCACCTACTTAACACGCATGCCACCTGGGTTCAATTCCCTAGCACTAAAAAAGAAAAATCAGGGGCTGGGAAGGTGGCTCAGTGGTAGAGTGCTTGCCTTGAATGCATGAGGCCCTGGGTTTGATTCCTCGGCACCACATAAGCAGAAAAAGCCGGAAGTGGCACTGTGGCTCAAGTGGTAGAGTGCTAGCCTTGAGCTGAAGAGCTGAGGGACAGTGCCCAAGCCCAAGTTCAGGCCCCACGACCGGAAAGAAAAGAAAGAAAAATCAAATTGATGTGTTTTTGAACTAGCTGGCTGGTTGGACTTTTCTTTTTTCTTTTTAAAAAAAATTCTGCACTTAGACCTTTGATCTGTATAGTAGGTGGGTTAAAAAAAAAGATTGTGCCCAAAAGAAAGATAGGATAAAAGCAGTTGGGAGACAAATAATTAAAGCAGAACTATTCATCTTTTGCAGGAGGAGGCGGTGGTGTGGTCCCCAGGGAGAGTGGTTAATTTATTCCCCAGAGACGGCTTCCTTGGGTCACTGCCCTGGCCCGGGCAGAGTCCCTGGGGATGGGGGGGGGTAGGAGAGCCCCACGCTTGCCTGCCCACACCCCACATTTCCCTCCCTCTCTGTCAATAACCCTGTGAGCTTAAGCTCACCGATTCCAGTCCCGAAGCCCTCTCCAGGGCTTAACTATGTGACCAGAATTTACATCCGTAGGACAGCCATGGCGCTGCTGGGCGAGGACGGCTGCAGGTGAGTCCCCCGTTCCTGGGGCCAGCCACGCCCACAGCCATCTACACACGGTGTGTGCCGGCATCCTCCGGAGCTCACTGACCTTGAGGACCCCGTGTGTCCTTGAACCCCACTGAGCTCCCATTCTGAGTGGCTGTGGATGGCCCTTCCACCTCCGGGGAATAGAAGTGCCCGTCCACTGAAGTAGGGCACTCGGAGGAGAGATTTAAAGCTCCGTGTGGCTGAGGGCGACTCCTACGCTATAGATGGAGACTAACCGGCTCCTGAGATGCCACAGCTAGGAAACACTAAAGCCTAGGTTTCATTCTTGACTTCTCAGTGCAGAAACCCTATCTGACCCAGGGCCTGCTTCTCGGGAGCTGGAGCTGGGGCGTGACCGCCCTTTATCCACTCTCCTCCCACTGTCCTGTCTCTGGACCTATTTCTAGCCAGGCATCTTTATTTATTTATTTTTTTTGGGTCCGGTCGTAGGGCCTGAACTCTGGGCCTGGGTGCTGTCCCTCAGCTCTTCAGCTCAAGGCTAGTGCTCTACCACTTGAGCCACAGCGCCACTTCCGGCTTTTTTCTTTTTGCTTATGTGGTGCTGAGGAATCGAACCCAGGGCCTTAGGCATGCAAGGCAAGTGCTCTACCACTGAGCCACCTTCCCAGCCCCCCTTGCTGTTTCTTAACCTGCACTTTCCTTCAAAACCATCCCGTCTGCCCTGATTCTGACAAGAAACCTCAAGATTTAGCCAAAGTGTCACTACCTGGCATTCAGGCTCCAAGCTTTGCACTTGTGTCTGATCTCATGTCTGTTTAAGTTTTGAAACAGCAAGGTAGGCACTGGTGCCCACATTTTGCCCACCTCTTCCTCCTCCTTGAGATAAAGTCTGTGTTACTACCTAGCACAGGCTGGTGACTCTCCATATTCAGCTCTAGTATTCTTATGATGGTTAGTATTCTCTGCTTTATACCAAATATTTGGAGACTAACTGATCCTCTGATTGGAAGAAGTCACACACGTATGCACAGATTGCACTTAGAAATGTGTGTTGAAGGAGGGGGTGGGGGGGAGTGGGAGATGGGATGGGAAGGAGAAACAAAGGAGGAGGCAACCATGCTTGATAAGAAATGTACTCATTACCTTGCCCATGTAATTGTAACCCCTCTGTACAGTATTTTCACAATTAAAAAAAAAAAAGAAATGTGTGTTGAAGACAAAGCTCTCATGCCAATAGAAAATAGAAAGTCACACATTTCTAGGATTGAGACATAATGACTTTGGAGCTTTATTGAATCCAAGGAAAGTTTTAGCCATGATGAGTTCAAGACTAAGCTCTGTGCGTAGTCTAATCTGTCACAGTGAATTGCTGAAACCAGGCTAGAGCTGGAAGGACACTTGAGTGTGTGTGTGTGTGCATGTGCGTACGCATGCGTGTGTGTGCGTGTGTGTGTGTGCAGGCACATGCTCACGTGCACACACAGACACACTTTTCACATTTTGCCTTTTTTGGTATTTAAAGTATCTCAGTGAAGCAAATAGGTTTGCTGCTATCGTTTCCATTTTACATACAGGAAAACTACAGTGACAGAGCTCAGCTGACTGCTCCAGTGTTACAGACACTGCAGTGCGAAGCCAGCCTACGATCCAGCTCTGGCTACAGGAAGATTTTCTTGTATCCACGTTCTTATGAACTTTTATCTTTTGTCTTTTGGACAACAGCCATTCTGATGTGCAATTCTTTAATGATTAGTGGTGCTGGGCACTTTTTCATATGAATATGTTTGGCAATTTGTCTTCTTTTGAGAAATGCTTTTTCAGGTTCTTTGTTTTTAATCAGGTTTATTTTGTTGCTATTGATTTATTTGAGATTTTTAAAAAACATATTTTGGATCTGAATCTCTCATTAGGTGATGGTTTAAGGATATATCTGTGTCTAGGTTATTTTATTCAGAGAATGAGTAGTATGTTTCATCATATCTCTAGCTTCCGTATTCTGCAACTTTACTGAATTTCAGATTAAGCAAGTGCTCTACCTACTGAGCCACGCCCCAATTTCTTTCACTTTTAGTGTTTGATAGATAGGGTTTCATGGTTTTGCTCAGGTCAGACACAGACTCTGATCCCTCTGCTTTGGCCTAGGCATAGTTGGGACCACACTCAGCTTCTTTTTGTCTTTCCCTTCCAGATAGGGTCTTGTTGTGTTGTTCACGCTGCTCTCAACTGCTCTGCAGCTGAGCTGACCTTAAGTCGTGGGCCTCCCGCTATGGCCTCCACAGAGCCACGCCCAGCTTTCTTTCACATGTTTCCTTAACTAAATTTAGAGAAAACAGTAGTTTTTTCACTCATCATAAAACATAAGGGCAGGGCTGGAAGGTGGCTCAGTGGTAGAGTGTTCGCCTCGCATGCGTGAGGCCCTGGGTTTGATTCCTCAGCACCATGTAAACAGAAAAGGCCAGAAGTGGCGCTGTGGATCAAGTGGTAGAGCGCTAGCCTTGAGCTGAAGAGCTGAGGACAGAGCCCAGGCCCAGAGAGAGTTCAGGCCCCACAACCGACCATAACTAAATAAGTAAATAAACAAAATAAAACAAACTATAAGGACATTGTTTTCTAATTTGCTGTGGTATCCATGACTTTGCATCATTTTAAAGCTAAAACAAACAACAAGGAGAACACAAGTTCTGAGCTACCCAGAAGTGGGATAGGATGAAGGGCAGCTTGTGGCTTTGTTGTTTTATAAAGCAGATGATGATCAAGCACTGCAGGGAAAGTCTGCGTCCACAGGGATGTGCAGGGATCCACCAGGGTCTTCTGTGTTTGCTTACACCAGGCGCCGAGTCCGGTAGAGCCGGTGCCGGCCGGTGCCAGCCGCCTCGTGTGGTGAGGGAAGCAGCAGGTCTCCTTGGGAGCGGAGGGTTGAAGAGAGGACGGCGCTGCTCCTGATGCGTCCTGGCAGTGTGCAGCGCTCTTGGCACACACGTCCCTCCGTCCATCCGTCCATCCATCTGTCCGTCCGTGTTCCTCGGCGGGGCCACCCACCGGGCAGATGAACCCAGCCAACGATTCTCGGGTGACGGCGTTCGTCCTCCTGGGGCTGGCTCGGGGGCGGGAGCTCCGGCTCCTCCTCTTCCTGGTCTTCTCAGCCGTGTACCTCGTGACGGTGGCTGGCAACCTCCTGATCGTGGCGGTGGTGGCCGCCCAGCCCCGCCTGCACACCACCATGTACTTCCTCCTGGGCAACCTTTCCTTCCTGGACTTCTGCTACTCCACCGTCACCGCTCCGAGGATGCTGGTGGACCTGCTCGCGCACAACCCCACCATCTCTCTGGGCGCCTGCCTGACTCAGCTCTTCTTCTTCCACTTCATCGGCGGCATCAAGATCTTCCTGCTCACGGTCATGGCGTATGACCGCTACGTGGCCATTTCCCAGCCTCTGCGCTACGCCCTCCTCATGAACCGGACCGCCTGCGGGCTCCTGGTGGCGGCCTCCTGGCTGGGCGGCTTCGTCCATTCCATCGTCCAGGTGGGGCTCACTGTCCGCCTGCCCTTCTGCGGTCCCGACCGGCTGGACAACTTTTACTGCGACGTGCCCCAGCTCATCAAGCTCGCCTGCAGCGACACTTTCGTCTTAGAGCTCCTGATGGTGTCCAACAACGGGCTGGTCACGCTGCTGTGCTTCCTGCTGCTGCTGGGGTCCTACACGGCGCTGCTGCTCATGCTGCGCGGCCGGGCGCGGGCGGCCCGCCGCAAGGCCCTGGCCACCTGCGCCTCGCACGTCGCCGTGGTGACGCTCATCTTCGTGCCCTGCATCTACATCTACGCCAGGCCTTTCCGGACGTTCCCCATGGACAAGGCGGTCTCCGTGCTCTACACAGTGGTCACGCCCATGCTGAATCCCGCCATTTACACCCTGAGGAATAAGGACATGATCCTGGCCATGAAGAAGCTGTGGGGGAGGCAGGAGGGGCGCCCCGGCCACTCAGAACACTGAGCTCCAGACTGGAAGACGCAAAGCAAGGCTGCAGTGTGCAGACCTGTGTCAGAGGAGCCGCAGAGCGCAGAGTCCATGGGGCTCGGCGGGGGCGGGGGGTGGGGGGTGCTGTCCTGACCTCGCTTTGTGGACACAGAATACACTTGAGAAGTTTGGAATGTGTGTGTGCGTGTGTGCGTGCATGAGCATGCAGGAGCGTGCGTGTGCACATACATCAATATTGGCGCTTGAACTCGGGGCCTGGTGCTGTCTTAGGCTTTCACTCGATTACTTGAGCCACCTCCAGATTTTTTTATTTTTGTCAGTTGTGAGGCTTCAGGAGCTAGCCGCAAGCCCTAGCTTTACTTCTGGTTTTCTGGTGGTTAATTGGAGATAGTCTCATGGACTTTTCCTGGCTGGCTTCGAATCAGGATCCTCAGATCTCAGCCTTCTGAGTGGTTAGGATTATAGGTGTGAGCCACCTGGCTTCACTTCCAGTTTTTTGATGGCTCTAACTGGAGAAAAGAGTCTCTTGTGCAAGCTGGCTTCCAACTGCAATCCTCACATCTCAGCTTCCCAAATAGGAGTCTTTGTTCATAAGGGCCAAATGATGCTCTCCCTCTAACTTGATCTCCTGATTAGACCCCTCCCCCTCCCCCAGCACCACCGGCTCACCACTCGGACTCAGCCACCTCGCACGTCCCCTCCCCCTCCCCCAGCACCACCGGCTCACCACTCGGACTCAGCCACGCTGCACGTCCCCTCCCTACCCCCCGCTAGGCAGGATCCATCCTGCGTTCTACCCGGGAGCCCACAGGAATGCGGGCCCGCTTCTCTCCGGTGGCTGGACCTCACCCCTGCAGGGCACGTTCATTGGAGAAGCCTCAGCCTGGAGCAGGGAGGGGACTCCGGGCCTTGGCGATCTCCAGTTCACCCCCAGGGCCCCTGGAAGAGTCCCTGCTCACCATCCATCTACCCCGTCTCCCAGCCTCCATTTCCTTCTATCACTTCCCTGTTTCTTTGGGTAAAATACTATTTTTTTAAGGTGAAAATCTATGACCTAGTAAGTGACTCAGGCCTAGACCCTAATGTGTTAAGGTGACAATAAAGGGAAAATCATTTTATTTTCTTCTTAGCCAATAGCCAACCGTCCTCCTCCTCCTCCTCTTCCTCCCTCACCTCCTCCTCCTCTCCCCCTCCTTCTCCCTCTCCTCCTCCCTCTCCTCCTCCTCCTTCTCTCCTCCTCCTCCTCTCCTCCTCCTCCTCCCTCTCCTCCTCCCTCTCCTCCTCCTCCTCCCTCTCCTCCTCCCTCTCCTCCTCCTTCCCCTCCTCCTTCTTCTCCTCCCTCTCCTCCTCCCTCTCCTCCTCCCCCTCTCCTCCTCCTCCGCTTCCTCCTCCTCCTTGCTTCCCCTTCTCCTTTCTCTTCCTTTCCCCCTTCTTTCTCCTTCTTCTCATGAGGTCACTCTGTGACCCATGCTGGCTTCTCTCTTCTGTGCTGGGATTACTGGCATGGGACACCACAACTGTTCATGATTACCATCTTGATATAGACACTGAAAGACTCAGAAGACTCTACTCCTCCCCCAGTTCTCCTCTTTTTCTGTTTCTCCCTCCCCCTCTCCCTCAACTTCATGGTGAAACTTTTGCAGTAAGAAAGTTAATGGCCAAATGGTTTCAGGAGATGATTTGAAATACTTGGGTTTATTATTTATAAAAGGTTTCCCTTTGAACGACTAGATAGTTCTTACAGACCACACAATCAATACACCTGCACAGCAGGGCAGAAGTCTGGGAAGACCCACAGAGATGACTTGGAAATCTCAGGATTTTGCTCAAGATTCACGCAGATGTGAGGCGAGAGTTACACAGCCTGGCTTACAATAAAACTCAGGAAGCTGAAGAAACGAAGGAGACTTATCATCAGAAACAACACACTTCTAAGGCTTCTGGCCAGATGGTAGTGTGTTTAACTATCAAGGGAGAAGTCCAGGGCCATGTGATTTAATGGTGCAGAAAAACTGGTAGAACAGGGGCCAACAGAGAGGTGCAGATTTCTTATCCTTCCAATAAAATTACTTACCCTTTTATTCTGAAGTAAATCGGTGTAATTCAACTGACCCAATATAAAAGACAAAGGCTAACGTTGAGGCCAGTAAAGTGATATGGAAATAAGGCATTTAGATACACCAATTGGCATATGTGACTTAAAAGCCCACTAAATCCAGAGTGTCTTTTGGTCTTCAAATGGCTTGTCTAACACATGGAAAAAATGATTGGTCTTTCCTGTACTACAACAGAGCCCGCCTCTTACCCCTCAGCTATATATACTTAACATATACAATATGGAGACACATCTTTCTGCCTCTCTCCCTCCTTTATCTATCTATCTGGCCATATAATTTATCTACCTACCCTATCCATTTGTCTCTCACATCTTACTACTGAAATATAATGCTTGTGCTGGTGCTTGGTTTCAGAATCTACTAGAAAGGAGAGATCTGGATATAATATACAGTTCCCTTAGAAACTTACAAAAGTATAGCTTGCTAGAGCCCCCAAGACTTTCTTTAAAGTGAGGCTTCCAGAGTGAGATTTAAATGCTCCATAAACCACTTAAAATCCTAAGCTAAGCCATGTGTCTATGTTAGAAATTATTTGGAGGAAAGGTGTTATGGAGTTTATGAGGAGCTCAGAGATAGACATACCCTGAAGTGTTACAGGATTCAATCTTTTCATGTTTATCAACGAGGAAGGCCGCACACAGCTGTGCTGCGTTCACTCACCGGTGCCGAGGAGCCCGCAACAGAGCGGCGGGGCCGAGGAGCCCGCAACAGAGCGGCGGGGCCGAGGAGCCCGCAACAGAGCGGCGGGGCCGAGGAGCCCGCAACAGAGCGGCGGGGCCGGGCGCGGCGCCCTGCCCATCCCCACTTCCCCACGCGCGTCCACGGCCCAGCCCTTGCTACATCCCGAGCATCCTCGGCTCTCTATCCCTGCTTGCGGGTGGCTTGTGAGGGGAAGAGCAGAGGCTGGTTGCAGGTAGTCTGGGAACAATCACACCCATTATATTATGTTCCAGGAGATTCATGTGCAGTGTCAAATCGCCCAGCTCGCCGTAAGGCAGGCTGGACTATGATCACAGAGAAGGGAAGGATCGAGGAGGCTGCTGAACAGACGCGTCTGTGACCCGTCGGGGAGCAGATGACGAGGACGGGCTTCGTAGGACACCCCTGTGCCTCGGAGCCGTCGTCCGATGCAGGCGGAGGAGCACAGGAGCAGCTCCAGGTGAGGCCTGAGACGCGCCACCACTGCTGCTTTACTAACACAGTGACTCGTAGTCCTGCAGCTCTCTGGCTCCCCGGCTTTGTGTACAACACTATCAACTATTCTTTTAAGTAACTGTTAAATGATGCACTTACTAGAATTTTAAAAGAGATGCAAATATCGTGGTCTATTTATTTCTTATAAAAATACTTCAGATGTAAATGTTCTGCAACATCATGGCTAGCCTTTAAATGTGTGATTAAATTAATTCTCTGAGGAAGTGGCGCTGTGGCTCAAGTGGTAGAGCGCTAGCCTTGAGCCGAAGAGCTGAGGGACAGCGCCCAGGCCCAGGGTTCAACCCCACAACTGACCAAAAGAAAAAAAAATGAACATTTGGGGCTGGGAATGTGGCCTAGTGGTAGAGTGCTTGCCTAGCATGCATGAAGCCCTGGGTTCCATTCCTTAGTACTACATAAACAGAAAAAGCTGGAAGTGGTGCTGTGGCTCAAGTGGCAGAGTGCTATCCTTGAGCAAATGAAGCTCAGGGACAGTGCCCAGGCCCTGAGTTCCAGCCCTAGGACTGGCAAAAAAAAACCCAAAACAAACAAAAATTTCTCTGAAATTGTGCTGTTTGGGTTTGGACACTTTAGCGCTCAGATATAAAAGACCCCATTTATATAATTCTTGGCATGTAGAACTTATCTTTCCACAAAACTGGAGTGAGTAGTTTAAGGTTTTCCAAAAGTCAGAGGCTTAGTGTCTGAGTTGCTAATAAAAGAAAATGCTGGGCCCACTCTTGGGCACTCAAAACATGAAAAGCAAAGAAGAGACAACAAACTCAGCCCTCCCCACTTACACAGTGAGCCAGGATCAAAGAGCTGGGCCCTGCCACAGGACAGAGAGAGGAACGTGATCAGTATGGCCAGGTCGGGAGGAACAGATATGGGTTCAGTGACACTGATCTATCTTTAAGGGGCTAACTGGCCCTCTGACAGGCCAGGCTGGTGGTCTGATCTACTGTTATCCCAATCCTGGTTTTATTTACTTAATTTTTTGCCGGTTGTGGGGCCTGAACTCTGGGCCTGGGCACTGTCCCTCAGCTCTTCAGCTCAAGGCTAGCGCTCTACCACTTGAGCTACAGTACCACTTCTGGCTTTTTCTGTTTATGTGGTGCTGAGGAATCGAACCCAGGGCCTCATGCATGAAAGGCAAGCACTCTACCACTGAGCTACCTTCCCAGCCCCTTATTTATTTATTTTTAAAGATTGTTTATAGTAGTCACTTGCTTCATCCAACAATATGTACCCATTAATATCAGAATAATGCTATAAAACACTGCACTACATTTGCTGAAAACATTTTCCCCCCATGGGTTCTAGCATTCTCTTTGCCTTCTAAGAGGCATCGTTTTCCAGATCATAGCCGTCATGTACTGTGTCATCTTTCTTCTAAACCTGGCAGCTTCTGCCATCTAGAAGTCACTATATATTTATCTAGGAATTTGCCTAATGTATCTTCTCCTTGGTGTCTGATTGGCTGAATTCATGTACACCATGTCCACAGTCCAATAGACAATTCTAATCAGTATTGCCACTTTCTCAATTCTTCGTTTGCAGTGGCACCATCAGTTACACCAATTTGTCCACTTCTGTCACCTTTGAGAGAAATCCTGTGGAGAATTCTTCTGCAACGTCCCTTGCGTATCTTTATTTTTTGGAACTACTCAGTAGCCATTAGTTCATTAACAGCAACGCGTGATATTACGATTGCCTCAGCCGCTCGCTCCACCTCCGAGTCTCTCTCCCGTCCTTCCATGTCTCCCACCCTTCTTTGTCAGCCAGCTGGGTGGTCATTTCTGTGCCCAGGAGAAAAAGAAGTCTCCATTCTCTAAATCTCCATTCCTCCCGCAGCGACTGAGCCTCGCTCTCAGCCATGGCGGGTTTCCTGGCTGCACGAGTCTGAATCTGCATGCAGGGAGTGTGCACTGCACCTTTGGTGACCCAGTGAGAGTCTGTGGAGGGGTGGGGCGGCCCTGGAAGGAGGTGCGGCCCGCCGCGGTCGGCCCTTCCCCGGCGGCGCTGCTCCGATCTGGCCTGTGCCAGGGAGCCGGCAGCGGCGGGCACCTATCTTACGGATGTTTTTCTGGTCCCACCTCGGAGTCTGCAGGTGACACATTGCTACTCCAGGAGCCTCGGCGGGCAGCTCTGGGCTGGGGTGCACAGCGGGGGGAGGGGCTCCCACTAAATGGGACACGGGGTTGTCATCTACGCAATCTTCTGTTACATAAACACCTGTGGAGCACTTACACACGTGCCGGCCGCGTCTCCACGTTCACACGTGCACGTTCAGTATGGAATTTCACAGGCACACTGGAAATCAAATCATTTTGCAAAAATGCTAAAAGAATGTTAAAGCCAGAGGAGGGTTTGAGTAGCCGTGCACCCACCCCTCACCTGCCCCGCTCCTTCCCTTGTTCAGGCTGAAGGGACATGTGAGGCAGGTCACTGACCAAGTCATGGCGGGAGCCAGGCATTCCGAGGTCCTGGGGATGGTTGGCGGCTGCTCTCCTGGCAGGCGGGTGGAGTGGCGCCTCCCGTCGGGGAGGCAGGGAGGCTGCCCGGTGGAGGCTCAGGAGTCTCGGCACAGCAGCCCCCGCAGAGCCCGCTTCATCTCCGTGTTGCGCAGTGTGTAGATGAACGGGTTGAGCACGGGGGTGATGATGGTGTAGAAGACGGCTGGGGCGCCCGCGCCCGCCCCGGCGGCGCCGGGCTGCAGGTAGATGCACACGGGCGGCGTGTAGTACAGGAGGACCACGGTGAGGTGGGCCGTGCAGGTGGAGAAGGCCCGGCGCCGGCCCTCGGCCGTGCGGATGCGCAGCACGGCCGCCACGATGAGGCTGTAGGAGGCGACGATGAGGGCCAGGCACCCCGCGGCCACCACGCCGATGTCCACCAGCATGGCCAGCTCGTTGGCCGAGGTGTCCGCGCAGGCCAGCGCCAGCACCGGCGGGATGTCGCAGAAGAAGTAGGCCACGTGGCGGGGCCCGCAGTAGGGCAGGCGGAAGGTGAGGGCCGTGTGCAGGGCCGAGTGCAGGGCGCCCACGGCCCAGGTGCCGCCCGCCAGCCCCGCGCACACCGGCCTGCTCATGGCCGCCGGGTAGTGCAGGGGCCGGCAGATGGCCAGGTAGCGGTCGTAGGCCATGACCGTGTAGAGGAAGCACTCGGTGCTGGCCAGGAGGTGGAAGCAGTAGAGTTGCGCTGCGCAGCCCGGCAGGGAGATGAGCCTGCCCTCCGCGGCCAGCAGGCCCGCCAGGACCTTGGGCACTGTCACGGTGGACAAGCAGGCGTCCAGGAAGGACAGGTGGCCCAGGAAGTGGTACATGGGGGAGCCGAGGCGCGGCGCGCAGCCCACGGCCACCAGGATGAGCAGGTTGCCGGCCGCGGTGGTGCCGTAGACGAGGAGGAAGAGGAGGAAGAAGAAGGCGGGGTGCTCGGCTGTGTGCAGCAGCCCCGCCAGGACGAAGTGGCTCACCGCACTGGTCTGGTTGAGGAGCTCTGGCGCCGGAGCCATCTTACACACCCGTGCATGCGCGCGCACACACCTGGACACACACACACACTCACACACACACGCTCACACACAGCTAGCTGAGTCCCTTCGAGCAAACCCCACATGAACAGCAAGGTGATCCGCTTTGCCCTTCCCGGAGCTGCCCCTCGGCCTCAGGAGCGGGAGGAAGCTGGAGCGGCGCCGCGGCCGTGCTGTTCTTGAGTCCTCGTGCCGCCGGCTCTGCGGGTCACTGTGCTGTTCGGAAGGAGCGTCTCCCTGCGCGGTCTAGGCCGTTGGCAGGGCAATCATGGACTGGAAGGAAGAGCTGGAGCCACCCGAGGCTGTATGATTCTAGGGAGGCCCAGGCTTCTGCATGCGTTCCCAAGCGGAGACTCCGGAGCCGTCCTCATCCACCGCATCCGGCGGGGACGTGTGCCACGGGGGACGTGTGCAGGCAGGGGTTAATGCTGTGTGTCAGCCCGCATTGGGGTGCTCTTACGTCACCCAGAGCCTCCCCCGCTCCCCCCGCCACGCAGAGGGACATCTTTCAGATTTCATCTACACACAACTCTCAAGTGCATCGGAGCCCTGGAGAGAAGAACTAATGAGCGCCAGGACAATTTGTTCAGCGCGTTCTGCGGTGTTCCCAGCAAGTTGGGTCTGAACCTGCTGGGAATATTCTCTTATGTCTGCTGCCTGCTCTCTTCCCGCAGGGCGGGCTCAGCGCGCGCAGTCTCTCTTGGATTCTTCCTGTCTTTGATGTCTTAAAGCTAATTCAATGTTGCATTGTGTGAACACTTTTTAATTTGCTGGTTTTTTTTTTTTTCTGTTGTGATTTTGGTCTCCCAAGCACCATGTCTGCGTTTAGGTATGTTTAAGTAGTTGTTCAGAGGGGTGTCCATCTGCCACGCCCCTGGGTCAATGTCGCTCCCTGTGTCATTCTCTCCCACTTCTCCCACCGCCACCCACTGCCTCCACGGCTGCCTTCCAGCCTCGCGCTGAGCATCGTGCCCCGCCTGCCTCCTCTCTGGGAGTTTCTCTCCCATGGTGAGAGACTTGCCTCCTGTTATTTAAGTACGTCGACATACACTTTCAAACGTGTTGAAAGTTGCTTGTGGATCTTGAGTAATAGTACATGTTCTCTTACACAATGGTGAAAAAATAATTCATCCATGTTCTCTCTGTGCTTGTGTGATTTTGTACTTTTTTTTTTTTTTTTTAACCTTTGTGGCCTACAGCAGATCAGAGATAGGTCTAATGTCATCTTTTTCCAAATGGCTACTCAGGGTCCCCAGGGCTATTCATTAAGAAGTCTATCTTTACTTTAGTGGCTAAGATACCGGATCTTTTCTTACTACACAATGAATCATGCCAGTGTTTCTCGGTCAGCTTTTGGTTGTACATTTCTAGCTCTGCCTCATGTGGAGATGCATTTTCCTCTCTTCATGGAAACAGGTTTGGGACAGGCAATAACGTCACTGATTTGGAGTTATACCTGAAGTCGTTTGTGTTGCCCGGGGGCGCAGGGGGTGCTGTTTAACTTTGCATCACTACTGTTCCACAGACAGCAAAGGCACTCGCGGACGACACACACTTCTTAGAAAGCTTTCAGTGTGGACCAGTCTGTACCCCGCTCTCCTAGGGTTCCCTTGCTCTCTTTCCCCTTTTCCCTCTTTCCCTCCCCCCCTTCTCCCTTCTTTTCTTCCTTTCTTTTTTTTTTTTTTTGCCAGTCCTGGGGCTTGAACTCAGGGCCTGGGCACTGTCCCTGAGCCTCTTTGTGCTTGAGGCTAGCACTCTACCACTTGAGCCACAGCACCACTTACAGCTTTTACTGAGTAGTTTATTGAAGAGTCTCATAGTCTTTCCTGCCTGGGCTGGCTTCAAACTGTGATCCTCATATCTCAGCCTCCAGCATAGCTAGGATTAGAGGCGTGAGCCACCGGTGCCCAGCTTGTCAATTGGAGCCTGGGGAACCCAGAATCCTCTTAGCCAAGGTACTGTGGTGACATGCTGAGCGGCACGGGGGGTGGGCAGCGGAGGACCAGGGAAGCCCAGGCCAGGCCGGCAGCGTTCCTAGAAGGCGACTAGGATGCGCTTCAAGGCTCTCAACATCTCCTTGTGGCCAGAGGCTTGCTCCCCCACCCCGCCCCACATCTGAACCCCAAAGCCACACAGAGAGTGCAGGAGTGTGGTCACACACAGACAGACACAGACACAGAGCAGACATAGACACAGAGACAGAGACAGACACAGACGCAGAGACACAGAGACACAGAGACAGACACAGACACAGACACAGATGAGACACAGACACAGACATAGACACAGACACAGACACACACACACACACAAACACAAACACACACACGTGTCCACCATCTTAGTGGAGCGCTCTGGGAACAGCCATGGAAGAGCAGGGGGACCCTAATCTACAGGAGGTAGCAAACACACTCACCTTGACACACCCATTATTTTACCAAGTCCAAGCCTTGTACACGCCAAGGAGACTAAACCTTCTCGGGCCCTGGTTCAGTTCCTCACAGTGAGGTGAAAGTACTCCCCCAAGGTCAGGTCCAAGGTCATCTCTTATCTTCCTCACTAAGGTAGACGGCCAAGGACAGGGGGTTTGGAAAAAGCCACTCACCCCAGTGAATTTCAACTTCCCTGTAGTTATAGAATTCGTAAGGATGACAACCATCTACACACGTATCTACCACCTACAACTGCTGTCAAAGTCAGATCAATCGTCTGCACCAAGGTTAATTTGCAGCCACACAGAGGTTAGCATCAGTAACGAACTCACCCACGGAGACCGCAGGGGGGCGCAGCCTTCACGGGGGGACTGGCCCGCCCTAGACCCCTTCCACAGGGTGCTCCCTCCCTGCGTGGCTTGGACACAGTTCCGGACCACGACTGGGACCAGATGGCAGGGTGGAGCTTCCCCTCTCTGCCTGAGTCTGGTGGGCCCGGGGGCTCAGCGGGGCTGGACGTCCCGGACGCCCCCCATCCTCCGCCGGGGCTCAGCGGGGCTGGACATCCCAGACGCCCCCCAGCCTCCGCCGGGGCTCAGCGGGGCTGGACGTCCCGGACGCCCCCCAGCCTCCGCCGGGGCTCAGCGGGGCTGGACGTCCCGGACGCCCCCCAGCCTCCGCAGTGCGGCCTTCATCTCCTTGTTACGCAGTGTGTAGATGATGGGGTTCAGCAAGGGGGTGATGACGGTGTAGAACACAGCCACCACCCCGTCCAGGGGCTCCCGGGAGCCGGGCCGCAGGTAGATGAAGGTGCAGGGCACGTAGTACACCACCACCACCGTGAGGTGCGCGGCACAGGTGGAGAAGGCGTTGCGCCGGCCCTCGGCCGACCGGATCCGCAGGATGGCGGCCACGATGTAGCCGTAGGAAGTGAGGATGAGCACGAAGCACGTGAGGGCCAGGAAGCCGATGTCCACGAAGGTGACCAGCTCGTTGACCGTGGTGTCGGCGCAGGCCAGGCGGAGGACCGGGGGGATGTCGCAGAAGAAGTAGTCGACGCGGCTGGGGCCGCAGAAGGGCAGCCGGAAGATGAAGGTGGTCTGGAAGAGCGAGTGCGCGGCGCCGCCCAGCCAGGTGCCCAGCGCCAGGCAGTGGCACGCGCCGCGCGTCATGATGGTGGCGTAGTGCAGAGGCCGGCAGATGGCCAGGAAGCGGTCGTAAGCCATGAGCGTGTACAGGAAGCACTCGGTGCAGCCCAGGAAGTGGAAAGAGAAGAGCTGGATCACACAGCCCCCGAAGGAGATGCGCCGGCTGTCCAGGAGAAAGCCGGCCAGCATCTTGGGGACGATCGCCGAGGAGATGGTCATGTCCAAGAAGGAGAGATGACACAGGAACCAGTACATGGGCCGGTGCAGCCGCGCGTCCAGCAGGATGGTGAGGATGATGAGCCCGTTGCCGCAGACGGTGAGGAGGTAGATGAGGAGGAAGGCCAGGAAGAGCGCGGCGCCCAGCTGGGGGGGGTGGTGCAGGCCCACCAGGGTGAAGTGAGACACCCACGTGCCGTTCCCGCCCCGCATCCCGCACTCGCAGCCCGCGGAGCCTGGGGAGCTGGCACCTGTGTCCGCCGCCCGCCCAGCCCCTTCAGGCCCGTGTCCACCTCCCAACCCTCTGTCTCCGCCTCGGCCTCTCTCTGTCCCACTTTCTGCCTGCTGTCTGTCTGTCTGTCTGTCTCCCTCTCTTTCTCTCTTTGAGTCTCGCTCTCTTGCTCTTTATCCTGATTTTTCGCTTCTCCGGCTCCCACCCCTGGCTCTTGAGTTTTGCTCAGGTCTGGGGGAAAGTTCCTCTGTCAAGCTCGAAGGTGTGGAGTGTGGAGAGGCAAGCAGCCCCTCCTCACCAGCCTGCTTTCCCGCAAGCTGTCAGTCACTCACTGCCGGCTGCACATACCCCACATCTCCAAGGACTTCATTGTCCGACTCAGGCTACCATGCTGTTATTGCTTGCTGGTCTTCTACTCTGCCTAGTTTATAAATTTAACGTGACCAGCTATGTGAAGGGTTTGGCACTAGAATTTCAGGATTCTACTGATTGTTTTAGAGCCGATCTTTCACCGATGCGGGGGAGTATTGTTTCCATCAGGAGACCGATGGAAAGGCTGAGCATTCAAGTCAGGATGAACATAGTAACATTAAACTTAAATCAATTGAAGGAATACATAATATTCTTTTATTTTTCCTCCAATTTGATTGATCCACACACAAGAGAGTTAGGTTATGTCTCACTGATTTTTTTTTTTTAAATGAATACAAGAGTTGGAATGATAAGTTCTCATAGAATGAACCTAGTATATTCAGAATCTCTGAAATTTTAACTAGAAGGATCTGGGTTTGAAAATTCTCTATAAAAATGCACAGACAAGTCCGGTGCCATTAGCAAGTCTCAGCTCTCTGATTCTACCGACTCTAACATTCAATAAATAAATACTCATCTCAGAAGGATACCTCTCCCTCCTTCCTGAGGACTTCCAGGCTGGTGACCACCTAGATCTGAGTCCACCGTGAAGCCACTGCCCGCTGGGCTGCTCGGATCCTTGCTGTTCAGCGCTCCTGGGCCATTTCCGAGCTCAGCAGGGCCCCGGAACCCTCCTTCCACAAGCCTCTTCCTGCTGGCAACCGGCTCTTTCTGTTCATTTATCTCCCTCCCCTCCCCCGTAGACCTCGCTGGAGCCCTCGGCCGGGTATTCGTAGGCGCTGACCCCTGGAGCGCTGTTTTCTGGCCGGCAGCTTCTTCCTTCCTGTTGTCCCCATGGGGTGGGAGTTGGGGGGGGGCTGACACCAAACTCAGCTTCATCCTTGGGGGACAATTAATTGACTATCTGGAAATAAGTTGCATTGGGCTTTGTTAACTGCAAATTCAGAACGGCAGCGATTCCAGGAAGTTCATCCTCACAGTGGAGGAACGAGAAGTGCAAGACCTTTGTGTTTCTTTGAGTTTTATTTTCCTCACGTGTCACTTGGACGTGATGTTGTTCTACCCACTTGTCCTATTAAAGTTCTGATGGAATTAAAAAAAAAAACCCTCTAGAGCTCAACAGAGCTCAAGGTATCACATAAATGCCTATGTCAGTGCCTTTTTATTTATTTATTTATTTTGGTCGGTCGTGGGGCTGAACTCTGGGCCTGGGCGCTGTCCCTCAGCTCTTCAGCTCAAGGTAATTGCTCTACCACTTGAGCCACAACTGACAAAAAAAAAAGTTATACTTACACACACACACACACACACACACACACGGAATGGGGGGAAAAACAAAAAAATTTAAACAGGTGACAAAATGTAAAGTACAATTTACCTTACAAAGAATTAGTGTCTTTATCAATGTTCAAACAAATCAGTAAGAAAAAGACTACTATCTCAAAAGAAATGAATAAAGTCCTTTAGAGCAAACACAGAAAAGGAGACAACCATGACATAGCATAGGTGCTTGCTTTGCTTGTCCAAGTAAGGAAATGAGCAGAGCAATCGCTCCTAATCAGCCTGTCCAGTGAGGACCGGTTGTGTAGCTCCATTTCTTTGGGAAAGTCACTCTAAAACCATAGCAAGCCACGGAATTTAGGACTGGGAATGCAAAGGTGGTGGAAGAGGGCTGTTACAATAGGAGGGGGTTCAGCTCACAGGTCTCTGCACGAAGCCCACCGCCTGGACGCTCAGCACGCCCATCAATCCACTGCAATGCGTGCATATGGACATGAACCAAGTGGCCGTCTTAAGGAAAACCAAAAAGAGGACTTTTCAGAAAACGGGATGGAAGTGCAAGCCGCCCGGCCCTGGCTGGGTTTGGGAAGTAGTGGCCGCCAGGTTGCTCGGCCTTCTCCCCCCCCCCCCACCGCCTCCTTTGTGTTGCCTCTGCTCTTTTCTCCCAGTGGTTTATTCCCCGTTTCCAGCTCTTTATTCAAACGTGGACCCTTCAGGTATTAGAATAGTGAGCAATCGCAAACATCTGAAGCGGAGCTTGGGTCTCCTAGTTGAAAATAGCCCAACGGTTAGAATTCCAGAGCTCTTAAAAAAAATGGAAGAAAGACAGCCTCTTCAGTAAATGGTGCTGGAAAAATTGGTTAACTACTTGTAGAAAACTAAACCTAGATCCTTATATATCACCCTGCACCAGAATCAATCAAAGACCTCAGAGTCAAAGCAGACACTCTGAAAACATTACAGGATGGAATAGGAGAAACCCTAGGTCTCCTTGGCTCAGGCCGAAATTTTTTAATAGAGACCCAGAAACACAACAAATCAAAGAAAGGTTGGACAAATGGGATTGCATGAAATTGCAGAGCTTCTGCATGGCAAAGGACATAGCTAGCAAGATCAATAGAAAGCCCACGGATTGGGAGAAGATCTTCACTAGCCGTACAACGGACAAGGGTCTCATATCTAACATATACCTGGAATTTAATTTAATTTTTTAAATTAAATTAAATCCCCCAACAACAAATCCTCAAAGAAACAACAGTCCAATAAATAAGTGGGCTAAAGACTTAAAGAGAAACTTCTCTGAAGAAGAAAGAAGGATGACCAATAGACACATGAAGAAATGTTCAACATCCCTAGCCATAAAAGAACTGCAAATCAAAACAACACTGAGATACCACCTCACCCCGGTTAGAATGGCTAAAATCAAGAACTCTAATAATAACAGATGCTGGACAGAAGGGAACCTTACTGCATTGTTGGTGGGAGTGTAAACTTGTTCAATTACTTTGGAAAGTAGTATGGAGGTTCCTCAAAAGACTCCACATAGAGATTCCCTATGACCCAGCAATCCCACTTTTGGGCATTTACCCAAATGATCACAAACAAGACCACACTAAAGCTACCAGCATGAGTATGTTTATTGCAGCCTTATTTACCATAGCTAAGACATGGAACCAACCCAGACGCACCTCAGTAGATGAATGGATCAAGAAAATGTGGTATATATACACAATGGAATTCTATGCCTCCATCAGAAAGAATGACATTGCCCCACTTGTTAGGAAATGGAAAGACTTGGAAAAAATTATAGTAAGTGAAGTAAGCCGGGCCCAAAGAAACATAGATCCCCTGGTTTCTCTTATTTGCAATAACTAATATATATCTGAGACAAGCAGAAAAGGTCAGATATGTTGATGTTAAGTGAAATGAACCCCAAGATAAGGACTCAATTTTTTTTTCTTTCTTGTGATAGTTTCTAACATATTTATAAGATGATTTCTTTGTTGCTCTGTATGTCCCCGCCCCCCCACTGTATAACCCCTGCTTTCACTGTATCTGATGCTGGTATAATTTGTGGAGGGGAAGGGAAAAAACAAATTGTTTAAATAGGAATACAGGTGGACCCATTGCAACAATGAGATGTACAAGTCGTTATGTCAAAAAACAAACTTTACAACTTTGGGGGGGGAGGGGAAGGATAGGAAGGGGAAACAAAGGAGGAGGCAACAATGCTTGATAAGAAATGTACTCATTATCTTGCCCATGTAATTGTAACCCCTCTGTACGGTATTTTCATAATAATAATAAAAAAAATACAAAAGAATTCCAGAGTTCTGAAATGGAATATTGTGGAGCATGCGTAGGCAACCATGTTTTAGTATAAGAAGTAACGATAGCCGGGAGCAGGTGGCTCATGCCTGTAATCCTGGCTACTCAGGAGGCTGAGATCTGAGGATGGAGGTTCAAAGTCAGCCTAGGCAGGAACGTCTGTGAGATTCTTATCTCCAATAAACCACAAAACTGGAAGTGGCGCTGTGGTAGAGCACTGGCCTTGAGCTGAAGAGCTGAAGGACAGCGCCCAGACCCAGAGTTCAAGCCCCATGACCGACAAAAAAAAAAAAAAAAAGTAATGAAGGAAGGATGCCAGTGGCTCACGCCTGTAATCCTGGCTACTCAGGAGGCTGAAATCTCAGGATGGAGGTTCAAAGTCAGCCTAGGCAGGAAAGTCTGTGAGACTCTGACCTCCAATGAGATACCAACAAGCCAAGAGCAGCGCTGTGGCTCAAGTAGTCGAGCACCAGCCTTGAGTGAGCACACTCAGGTGCGGAGATGACACATGTAAGGAGGGAGAGGCAGGGGGAGGAAGGAGGGAGGAGGGGTGAGCGCGGGATAATTGGTCCCTCTGCTCTGCACGTGCCATTCAGGGTCCCTGGAGAAGAGGGTCTCCAAGGTGGCTCGAGACGTTTATTCCTTCCTGAGGGGGTGGCTGGCAGCTCTTCCGCTCAGAGCAGGGCCGCCGCATCCCTGGCTCCAGGCCTGGCTGGGGCCCAGAGAGAAACATCCTGGCAGCTGAGCTAACCAAAGGGACAGGGGTGGGCTGGGGGTGGGCTGGGGTTCACCTGGGGAGCCGTGTCTCCCTTCATTCTGGAAGTGCCTGCTCCTGTGCTGCTGCTGGAGAAGGAGACTACCCGACGGCGAAGCTTCACCTAAAAACCAACGCTGGGAGCCGAGTGCGCCCGGCCCCACCGCACCCAGGGCCCGGGAGAGCCGGGATTCTGTCCCGGGGAGGTGGTTCTGGGATTCTGTCCCCGGGAGGTGGTTCTGGGATTCTGTCCTGGGGAGGTGGTTCTGGGATTCTGTCCCGGGGTAGGTGGTTCTGCCTGCACTGGGATTGCCTGTCCACCTGTCCCCCACACGGCGATGCGTATTCGCTTCTGCTTTGCTGCGGGTCCAGTAGTCAGCCTCCGCGGCTCTGTGGTCTGTGCTCTCTGCGGCCTGGCTGAGCTGGCCGAGGCCTCCAGGCTGCCGCGGTGACCACCCCTCCCCGCCAACCCACGGCGCCTCGGCGGCTACACCAGAGCATCTTAAAGGCGGCTTGGTTTTTGCTGGTACCGGAGTGTGAACTCAGAGCCTCGTGCCTGTCCGATGTGCTGGCCTGGCTTCTGCTGTTGGCTTGAGCCGCCCTTCCGACACAGCTTAAACACAGTGTTGCTTTTCTTTTGCCAGCACTGGGACTTGAACTCAGATCTAGGGTGCTCTCCCTTAGCTTTTGGCTCAGCTCGAGGCTGGTGCTCTGCCAGCTGACCCAGTCTCCCGCTGCTGGCTTCTTTTGGCTGGTTAATTGGAGAGGTCTCATGGGCTCTCCTGCCCAGGCTGGCTTGGAGCCTCAAGTTCAGATTCTGCCTCCTGAGCAGCTAGCATTTTAGGTGTTGGTCTGTGTACTTGGATTAAACACATTTAAAAAACAAACACAAAACCAAGGGTGGGCAGTGTTTCACGAGGCTTTTACTCTAGAACACTGACCTCTATTGATGTGTCTACCAACTCATCCACGAGGGACCTGGAGGTTTCTCACTCACACAGAGTCAGCCTGGGAACAGGATGTGGCAATTAAACTGGGTATAGGCAACAGTGAAGATTCTTCTAGCGCCTTCCATGCCTTATCACCTATCCGGTTATCTCCTTGGGACTGAGGAAGGGATTGGGAAGATAGCTGACTTACTGAAAGTCGCACAGCTGGTCTCTCCTCTCCAGTGCTGGGGAGCAGGCACGTGGGTCTCCCCGGCTGTGCGGGATCTCTGCTGCTCGGGCAAGCCCCCCAGGCCAGCCCTGACCACGCGGATGGAAAACCACACGGCCGTGACACACTTTCTCCTGCTGGGAATCCCGCAAACCACCGGCCTGGAAAACGTCCTCTTTGTCCTCCTCCTGGCTTTCTACATGCTCACGCTGCTGGGGAACTTGCTCATTCTCCTGGCCCTCCTCAGCTCCCCCGGCCTCCACACCCCCATGTACTTCTTGCTGGGAAATCTCTCGGTGTTTGACATATTTTTCCCTTCAGTGAGCTCCCCCAAAATGATGCTGTACCTGGTGACCCGGGATCACCGCATCTCCTTCCAGGGCTGCGCCACCCAGCTCTTCTTCTACCACTGCCTGGGCTGCACCGAGTGCTTCCTGTACACCGTGATGGCCTACGACCGCTTCGTGGCCATCTGCCACCCGCTGCGCTACACGGCCATCATGAGCCGCCGGGTGTGCGCCGGCCTGGCGCTGGGCACGTGGCTGGGCGGCTGCGTGCACGCCTCCATCCTCACCTTCCTCGTCTTCAGGCTGCTCTACTGCAGCCCCCGCGAGGTGGACAGCTTCTTCTGTGACATCCCCGTGGTGCTGCGTCTGGCCTGTGCCGACACCGCCCTGGTGCAGACGGTGAGCCTCACCAACGTGGGCGTGGTCTCCCTCACGTGCTTCCTGCTGGTGCTCACGTCCTACACACGCATCGTCGTCTCCATCCTGCGCATCCGCTCCTCGGAGGGCCGGCGCAGGGCCTTCTCCACCTGCAGCGCCCACCTGACCTCCGTCCTCCTGTTCTACGGCCCTGTGATGCTCGTTTACCTGCAGCCGGCGCCCAATCCGTGCCTGGAATCCGTGGTTCAGGTGTTGAACAATATTGTGAACCCTTCCCTCAACCCGTTGATTTACTCCCTGAGGAACAAGGAGGTGAAGTCGGCTCTGAGGAAGGCCTTACCCCACGGCGTGTGCAACTGCGGGGGGCAGACTTCGTGTCGTGAGCCGTCTTAACGCTCTGCCTCCCGCCCGCTCGCGCGGTGCGATCTGGGGACAAATAGGGAAGATTGAAGAGATTTTGGTTTGATGAATGGCTGACTTTCTTAAGACAATTTTTTATTCAACAAGATCTTTCATAATGTATTTGCTCAACATTATTGCATGTACTTTATAAACACTGCTTTCATAGCTCAAATAATAATCACAGGGAGTAGAAAATGTTATTACCTAATGCACTGAGCGAGTAATTAAGGCCCGGTGTTACAGAGGTAGGAAGTCGTGAGCTAGGGTGGGACCGAGGCTCTCAAACTTGTACTCAGGGAGGAATCATCCCGTAGACATTAGTGCTTCTAGAAGCTTCCTTTTAACTGACATAGATTGTTCTCTAATTTGCCAAGAAACTATACAGTCCATTAAGTATTGATTCCTCTCATTCTCTAGTCAATATTCTGGCTAATCATACGTGTTTAGCTTGACTATAGATTCTCTTACATTCTAGAAATAGCTATCATGTACAGATTACCAACAGATTGCCTCTGATCTCAGTTAACTGTCTTTCTTTATGCCAAGGGTTTGAGTTCTGCAAATGGGTGCAGGCTAAAAGACATGCAGCCCAGGGCTGAATCTTGGTTCTAGAGTTCCTGGACTTTCTAATATCATATGCATTTCTCCTCAAGTAAGCAGCTTTGAAAAAACTTAGTTGCAAAAATTAAAGTGAGCAGAGACTTTCCTCCCACGTCTGTCCTGCCAAAGAGACTGTCCACTGGCTTTTGTCATTTTCTCAACTCTCCCATTGGTGATGTAATTGCAACTATAGTTGGTATTCAACTTCCTGTTTAGCATGCTTTCCGCTCTGTATAAACTACATCTATGTTATTTATATTGGTATAGAGAAATGTGATCGTATTTTTTGTATATTTTCTGGTTTTAATAGTGTATTAAACCTTCCAATTGCCAAATGTTGAAAACATGGGCTTTTTGGGATATATGATACCTATGAAATGATCCATTCTGAGTATGGGATTCAATCATTTCTCATCCGTTTACCAGTACAGGCTATTGGCAGCTACACGTTGGCTCTCGCCACCTTATTTCCATCCTTAAGCCTGCGAGCAGCTGTCTCTCAGCCTGACCCACTCTAGATACTTCTCTGCAATGGAGTCTTTTGGATGGCCCGGGGCAGGACATTGTTAAAGTTTGTGCCACGGTCTGTTTTTTTTTAGGATTTGATAACCTTTTATTTATGTTTAGCTATTATCTGCAGATGGATTTTGGGGCTGTTTCTTTTGGTTAAATGTGCTATTATGAACATCTGTGTGCACAATTTCTGTTTCAACATCCAGTTTTGCTTGGTGCTCTATCACTGAGCCATGCCTCCAGCCTTTTTGGTACCTTTTTGGTTATTTATTATGTTGTCGGCCATGGGACTTGAATTCAGGGCCTGGGCATTGTTCCTGAGCTTTTCTGCTCAAGGGTAGTGCTCTATCACTTTAAGCCACAGCATCACTTCTGGATTCTGGTGGCTCATTGGAGATATGTCTCCAATTTTTTTCTGCTGGTGTTGGCTTTGGACCACAATCCTCAGATCTCAGCCTCCTGAGTAGGCAGGAATACAGACATGAGCCCGCAGCACTTGGCTCCCTGGTTGTGTTTGAGATAGGGTCTTGCCTCCTGCTTGAGCATGTGCCTAGAAGGCGATTCTACAACTTGCCACGTTCCACAGTGGCTGGGGTGGTGCACGCACGCGGCCATGCCCAAGTTCCTCTGCGGAGATGGAAGTTCCAAGACTTTCTGCCCAGGCTGGCTGGGTGCCACAATCCTCCTGCTCTCAACTCCTCCTGAAGCGTGTGCCACCGTGCCCAGCGGTCAATCAAGAATGGGTTTCTCATGCACTCCCAGGCTGGTCCCCTCAATCTCAACTTTTTGGTGATTAACGGGAGACAAGAGTCTCAGAGACTTCCCTGCCTGGGCTGGGTTTGAATTGGGATCTTCAGACCTCAGCCTCCTGAGTAGCTAGGATCACAGATGTGAGTTATGCCTTCCTGGAAGCAGAATCTGAGCCCTTACCAATTTGCACCACAATTAACACAATTCACAAACACAGCTGCTCAGATACATGCAAATGAATGTATACATGGAGCAAAAGGAACATTAATGAATTTACCCAGGGATACAAAAGTTTACTCTTTTTGTCTTATCTCAAATAGGTGCATCCTAATTATAAGCCACAAATGTTTGTGAGGTGCAGTGGAGAGCTAATATGGACACGGTGTATGATGATCAAGCCAGGAAATTTGCCGGGGAGAGGAGAATCGTATTTTGCCCACACTTAGCCACCAGCCTTTCTTCTAATAATTTACTTGTATGACTTTGTTTTCTAACACAGAAAGAGGTTGAATTTGGCCATTTTAAAGCATTCTTTGTGTGTCACTGTAGGGATGCTTATCTATTAGGAGCTGGCACCATTCGGAAAAGCAAGTGTCCTGATTTCCGCATGTGACACCGACTAGCCAATATGCAATCTCTTGGCTGTGAAATCCTGCCCTGAATCAAGGTGAAGTGACCCACTTTGTCCAGCAGGTGGCAGCACGGGGGCACAGTAAGCCAGAAGCATCTGTCATTGCCGACTCCAGTGAAAAGCTCCAGGAACTGAACTAAGACGGAGAACAGGGAGAGAGGAGAGGGTTGAACAGTATTGTATAGAGGAATTTCAATTCACTATATCAGTGTATGGGTACAATGCCTCTTGATCAGTGTCACTTTGTTAATTTTGTAAAACATGTTTGGTTACAGCCATGTAGAACAAATCCATAAACTAGGCAGGCTTACTGTATTTTCTAAATAGATGACACGTGTGTGTGTGTGCGCGCGCATGTGCGTGTGCGTGTGTATATGTGCCAGCCTAGGGCTTGAACTCAAGGCCTAGGCGCTGTCCCTGAGCATTTGTGATCAAGGCTGGTGCTCTACCACTTGAGCCACAGCTCCATTTCTAGCTTTTTGGTGGCTAATTGAAGAGTCTCAGCCCTACCAGGGCTGGTTTCGAACTGCAATCCTCACATCTCAGCCTCCTGAGTAGCCAGGATTACAGGATTATAGGACACTGACTCTTGGCTTGATGATAAAAATTTCTATAACATTTACCCATAAAGAATATTTAAGATCACAAAACAATGAGAAGAGGATGGGAGCAGACAGAAGGGGAGAGATCCCCGTCTCCCGCTCTAATTACTCCCCGTGCTCATTCTCACTTCTAGGGTCTAGGGATTGGGCCCTGGGGATATTGTCTCAGTAGAACCCAGAACCGTTCATTCTCTCCAGTTTGAGAACATCATAAATTCAGAGTTTCGGGATCAGCTGGGCAGCCGGGCAGAGGGCCTGTGCATGTTTTGGATTTAAGAGGAGCAGGTGTGGAATCCTGGCTCTTCACCATGGCTAGAGTTTGGGAGCTCATTTCTCTCCGATAGAAACTGCAAACAGCAGCTCCCCAGCCATTACATGTGGGTGTTTTTTTCTTTAATCAGTAGGGATGTGTCTGAAGCACCGCCTGCTCTGTGCTTCCTCGGTTTCCTTCCTCCCCTCTGTCCCGCTGAGAATGTTCTGTGTCCTGGTCATTTGGCCAGGAGGACCCAGGACCTGAAGACATGTTGTTTCACAGGGTTGACACGGTGCTGCATGAGTATGCCAGCACCAAGAACGCACGGCCGGGAGGAAGTGCCAGAGAGAAGTGTGTGTGTGTGTGTGTATGTGTGTGTGTGTGTGTGTGTGTGTGTGCGCACGTGTATGTGTGCGTGTATGTGTGTGTGTGCGCACGTGTATGTGAATGTACACATCTGTGCATGCACACCTGTGTGTGCCAGAGAGAGGTGTGTGTATGCGTGTGCGTGTATGTGAATGCACACATCTGTGCATGCACACCCGTGTGTTAAGAGAAGGGCCTTTACCAGGAAGAACGGTGTGCACGTGTGCATGTGTGTGTGTGTGAAGAGAAAGGCTTTTGGGGGAAATAGTGTGTGTGATGTGTGTGTGTTAGGAGCAGGGCCTTGGGAGAAGCCTGGTGGCTTGGGAGGCGGCGGGTTCTGTGTTCAGGAGCCCGACTCTTCAGTTCATATGAACATTATTGTTAGGAGAGATCAGGCGGACGGAAGGAGAGAAAGGAGGCAGAGACAGCAGACCGGAGCGGGCGTTAGTCACTGCTGCAGAGTGGCTGCGTGTAACCGGAGCAGGAAGGAGGGGTCCGGCACGTAGGCACAATGGGCCAAGGACACGCGTAGAACTGCAGTGAGGGGCGGCGGCGGCAGCCGCCACAGACACACGGCGGACACTGAGGCCAAAAGATGTCTTTATATTTCTAGCAGGCGGCAAGAACATGCGTGTGTGCATGTGTGTGTGTGTGCGTGTGTGGGCATCTGTGTGTGTGTGTGTGTGTAATTGCATGGATGGTTATGACCCAAAGTGAATGCCTAAATAGTAGTTTGAGCTGGAAAGGAATCTGTTGTAAAAAAAGTTAGTCTTATTTTTAACTAGTGTAAGGAGGTTTCACTGTGATAATCGCGCCCATGGGGACAGAGGGACTGGAGAAGGCCACCAGTCCTCATAGTCCTGTGTGTCAGCCCTTCCTCCTTGTCTGTGCCCGCTGTGCTTGGCGGATTTCACCATGCCGTCTCTGTGTGTGTGTGTGTGGGGGTGTGTGTGTAAAGGCTGGCTGGCTGGGGTGAGCGGGCTGGAGGGAGGGAGGGAGGCTGGAGTCTGCCTGCACCACTTTCATCTTTGCTAGGAGATTCCAGCCTGTCTACACACTTCTGCAGCTCCAGCCTCAGAGCCTGGAGGGAGGCGGTGAGGTCTGAGAGCCCTGCTCCCGTCGCCTCTGCCATTGACCGTAACCACCCTTGCGATTTGATGCTCATTTCACTCACAGCACAGCACTCACACTGGTCAAATTGGAAACAACGTGGAGTGGGGCAGAATGAGACCATTTCTTGGACAGAAACACCAGTGATAGTGGAAGAAAACGAGAAATACCTAGTGGTGCCATTTGGAGGGAAAGCTAAGGAGGGATGCGGAACACAGAAGGCGAAGTCGGGGATTCAGAAAAGATAATTCAGGTATTCTCCTTAGGATTGTCTAACGCCGATGGCAGTGACTAGAGCCAAAAGGTGCCCTTGGCATGGACATTTGCATGCGTGAGACTCACGATATGGAGAGAAAACCTCCTGAAGGGGGACATACGCACAAAGAAGCCGACGTTTCTGTCACCTCCCTGGGGCCACAGGGCCTCCGTCTTTGCCACTGTCCTGCGTGCACGGGGCCGGGCCATGCAGCCCAGACTCGTCTCTTAAATACACATCAGGACAGGTGGCAGTACAATGGTTGGAAGGTCAGAGTCACCGCAGGGGTTCACACGCACGGGTTGGGGTCGCGGCCTGCTTGTGAGCAGACTATCACAAGGCTGCTGTTGACGTGGGATTGTTAGCTGCTAACGGAGGTTGCGCAGGGGTGATGGATGGTTCTGGAAGACGCTGGCTCGTCAGGTGGTAAAGCAGACAGGAAGAGATGAAGGGGGACTGGCAGGAAGAGCTGGTGACGGTAAGATGTTGCTCAACCTTACATGATTCTGTCTTCTCACTTCTCATAGAGACAGAGCCGGCGAGGCACGGGTGGAGGTCAAGGTCAGGTGTAACTCCCCTCCCTGGCCGCCTCTGGCCTCAGCCTGGGCCCCCATTGCACCCAGCCCCTCTGCGCCGCCGCTCCGCCCCTCCCTGCGGCCGGTCTCACGTCACCATGGCTTTGCTTCTCCAGGGCCGCCCGCCGCATGGACCGCAGCAACCGCACCTCGGTGACGGAGTTCATCCTGCTGGGCATCGCCCACACCGCCGGCCTGGAGACCATGCTCTTCCTCTTCTTCCTGGCCTTCTACCTGTTCGCCCTGCTAGGAAACCTGCTCATCTTGCTCGCCATCCTGGCCTCCTCCACCCTGCGCACCCCCATGTACTTCTTCCTGGGCAACCTGTCTGTGTTCGACCTATTGTTTCCCTCTGTGAACACCCCGAAGATGATGGGGGCCCTCCTGGGGCGGGGCCGTACCATCTCCTTCCAGGGCTGCGCCTCTCAGGTCTTCTTCTACCACTGCCTGGGCTGCACCGAGTGCTTCCTGTACACCGTGATGGCCTACGACCGCTTCGTGGCCATCTGCCACCCGCTGCGCTACACGGCCATCATGAGCCGCCGGGTGTGCGCCGGCCTGGCGCTGGGCACGTGGCTGGGCGGCTGCGTGCACGCCTCCATCCTCACCTTCCTCGTCTTCAGGCTGCTCTACTGCAGCCCCCGCGAGGTGGACAGCTTCTTCTGTGACATCCCCGTGGTGCTGCGTCTGGCCTGTGCCGACACCGCCCTGGTGCAGACGGTGAGCCTCACCAACGTGGGCGTGGTCTCCCTCACGTGCTTCCTGCTGGTGCTCACGTCCTACACACGCATCGTCGTCTCCATCCTGCGCATCCGCTCCTCGGAGGGCCGGCGCAGGGCCTTCTCCACCTGCAGCGCCCACCTGACCTCCGTCCTCCTGTTCTACGGCCCTGTGATCGTGGTCTACCTCAGGCCTGCCTCCAGTCCCTGGCTCGACGCCGTGGTTCAGGTGTTCAACAACATCGTCACCCCTTTCCTCAACCCGCTGATCTATTCCTTGAGGAACAGGGAGGTGAGCTCAGTGCTGAGGAAGGCGCTATCGCTTGTGGCCCAGCCTCTGGGTCATAAGGACTAGGAACGGTGGTCTCAGAAGCCCTTGGTGGAGATGCTTCTGACTCACGGGCACGGCAGGCAGCACTGTGGCCAGAGCTCTCCCTGCACTGCCAGAGGCCCACCCTCCCTCAGCTCGGACTCTTGATAACTATGTGGCAGGGGCCGGACACGGATTCATTACTAACCCTTAATTCAGTGTTTTCTCTTTTTGTGATCTGCCAAAATAACATCTTGCTTTCTTTTCAACATCATGGATTTTTTTTAAACTAAAAATATATTAGTGTAAATAATTAAGGAGAGGGTCTTCTTGGTGATATTTACAGCAGGTGTGGTGTGAACGTCATCAGATTTCTTTCTTAATCTTTCTCCCTTCTCCTTCCTCTGTTTTTGGTCATTTTCATATATATATATATATATATATATGTATAATCTATTCACTATGACATATGTGTGTACATGTGTAGATATATACACACATACATATGTATTTAAATGCTCGCACATATATTTCATATACATATATGATACATTCATATGCGTCATACACACATATATGACTTCTGTAATATTCACAGCATTATTACCTTCCCTCGCTCTTTTTTTGGGGAGGGAGGTCCGGTCGTGGGGCCTGAACTCTGGTCCTGGGTACTGTCCCTCAGCTCTTCAGCTCAAAGTTAGCACTCTACCACTTGAGCCACAGTGCCACTTCCGGCTTTTTTTTCTGCTTATGTGGTGCTGAGGAATCGAACCCAGGGCCTCATGCATGCAAGGCAAGCGCTCTACCACCAGCACCCCCCCTCACTCTTTAATCCCTTCTAAAACAGTCTCTTTTTATTAGCATGTCATAGTATTTTTATTTTGGGATCTAATTCTTATATATGAGCCCAAACATGATAGATGCCTTTCCGAGCTTATGTGGAAACTCATCCAGAAATTACAAATACAGCTGAAACACAGTCCTGCCATGCCACGCTTGGGCGTTTATGCAACGGAATGTAAATCAGGCTACAAGAGAAAGCTACCTGCTTACCGTGTCGGTAACAGAATGACTTAACAGTAGCCAAGTTATAGAACCAGCCTAGGCACCAGCAAACAATGACTGAAGAAACAAAATGAGCTACACATATACCATGCAGTATTAGTCTGCCACAAGAAGACAGAAGTTCTGTTAGTGGCTGCGGGAAAGCAGATGGAATTGAAGCCATAATGATACATCATCACGCCCAGCTCTCCCACACCCAGGGCAGGCCTCCCCCAAGGTCATCTCTGGAAAAACTTCATCCCCAGAGCATAACCAAAGGTGGGCTTGTACAATTTCACAGGTGCTTCTCAATCTAGCCAATAGAGTCACCAAGATGTCATTGATAGGCAAACACATAAACAACCTGCAGTATATCCCTCCAATGGAATATCATCCCTTGATTTTTAAAAATGAGCTGTGAAACCACAAAGAGATACAGAGGATATGTACGGACATATGTGTAAGCAAAAAAGTCAATTAAAGAAAACCTTGCATTGCTTTCTATATCATGTGTGGAAAAAAGTAATTGGTGGGACTGAAAGAAATTGGAGTATATTTGTATACCCCTTGCTTAATTTTCCAGACTACTGGATTCCCCCCCCCCCCGCCGCCCCCCGTCTCTCTGTCTCTGTTTTGTATTCAGGATTTTTTTTCCCATTGGTTTACTCAAGACACTAATGAACATTTCAACTGTAATTATTTTCTACTTCAATTTGTCTTAATTAATTCCATGAGGCCTTTGTTTTTTAAATGCCGCCCTTTATAGTCATTGTGTTAAAATAGAATTATGTGCTTTTGCATATCCAGCATAATTAATTTCCTGAGCCAATGATCAAACAAAACAAAACAGTACAACCACAGTGATCGCTGCTTCCTGGCACAACTCGAGTCAGAACCAGCGGGAGGAGGGGCGCCGCCCTCTTCTCTGCCCTCAGTCCTCCATGTTCTGCACCGGGAGTTCTTGACAGCGTTTTGTCTCCTTGTGGTTAGGATGATCGGCTAAGTGCTTTATCATCCATTTCTCTGCTAGGAACATAACTTACTGACCTTTCAAAGACATTCAAATAGGAGGAACAAGTAAAAGAATGGAAGCCTTCCTACATTTATATGCACTTCCATGCACACATGAATCAGGCATTCTTCTACCCCTGGAGCCTTCCTCTCCTACTGGTGTTGGCTGTTTTGCTTCTGGTTTTTCTTTTTATAAAGAAGACACGATTATTAGCATTTCCTCTCACTGTTACCCATATTGTTGGAATTTGTAACCACTGTCCTTCTAGCTGTTAAGGAAGAGTCAATGGAATGATTTCCCATTAAGCTCCTTCTGCAGCCCACATCAAATCCATCAGTGAATGTTAAGTTTTTATCCTCAAGATATACCCAGAATTAGCCGGGTCCCGGTGGCTCACACTAGCTACGAAGGAGGCTGAGATCTGAGGATCAGGGTTCAAAGCCAGCTTGAGCAGGAAAGTCCATGAGACTCTTTTTTTCAATAAACCACCAGAAAACCAGAAGTGGCGCTGTGGCTCAAGTGGTAGAGCGCTAGCCTTGAGCTAAAGAGCTGAGGGACAGCGTCCAGGCCCAGAGGTCAAGCCCCACGAATTTACCTCTTCTCGGTACCTTTCTTATATGCATCCCAGCCGATGTCACTTTCCTCCCTCAGCTCCTGTAATAGTTCATCTCCCTGCATCTGGCCATACCCAGCCAAAGGAAGACATGGTGATTGCTTCCTCCTCAATTCCTTACTCCAAACATGTTTTTTTCCTTTTGTTGGTCTTTTCCTTTTGCAGCTCTATTAGGCACAAGTGCTATCATCTGACATCACGATTTTTTTTTTTTTGGAGCCTGAACTCTGGGTCTGGGCGCTGTCCCTCAGCTCTTCACCTCAAGGCTAGTGCTCTACACCTAAGTCACAGTGCTTTTTTTGCTTATGTGGTGCTGAGGAATCGAACTCAGGGCCTCATGCGTGCAAGGCAAGTGCTCTACCACTGAGCCACCTTCCCAGCACTCCCCACCCCCAACTTATGTTTCTTAGCATTTGTCTTCTGAAAACTAAGACATTCTCCTGCAAAATCAGCATCGCAGCTCTCAAACGCAGGGGATTCATTACAGGTGGAAAGCATAATCTGCATTTAAGCATCAGCAGTTGCTTCAATAGTGTTGTGTATAGGTTCCTTCTGTTTTTGGTCTGAATTCTAACTAGCATAAGGGTTGTCATTTTCCTTTAATAGATGGCAACAGGATTCTGTCTTTTTTTTATGCTATTGATGTTTAAAAGAACCATGACTATCTCTTTTACAGTTCACGGCTAAGCTTTGAATTGTCTTACTTTCTTCTGTTGATTATACTCTGGTTAATATAATTTAATATGAGCTTACACCAGACAGCACAGAGAGCAGGCTGGCGAGCCGGAGTTGGGAGGGAGGAGGGGGG